AGTAACGGAGGTGGTGCTGGTGGAGGTGGTTCTTCTGGCTCAGGGCCGGTGTGCCGCAGCAGGCGTAACGGGCTCCAAGACGTCGACCTGAACACTTTCATCTCAGAGGAGATGGCACTGCATCTGGACTCTACAGGCTCCGCCTCTGCCGGAGGAGGAACCAGGAAACGAAACTCCACCCAGTGTAGTGATGTCATCACAGACTCCCCTACACACAAACGCAACAGGATGATCTGATCTGCTGCCTGCCTATGTGTGTGAGGGGGTTGGAGGGGGAGCCTTCAAAGCCAAGGCTAAGAGAGGGGGATGGATGGGCTTATGTGGGACAGATGCGCAGACGGACAGACAGACGTTCGGATGGCTGGCTGTGCAAAAGAACCCAGTCTGAAAATGAAAACAGGGACTGACGGTCTCGGTTCGGTCTATTCAGATGATGAATGAATTCTATTCCTTGTCTCCTTTCCCCTACAATATTACTACAAATCACCGATCTGCAATCAGAACACTTGATGACTGTGTGCGGGTGGCTGGGAGGTCTGGACGACATCACACACTCCTCAGACATCGCCGCCCCGGAAAGGAGACAACGAAGGAAGTCCCCAAGTCATCCTGGGATGCAGACAGTTCTCAAATGGGTGACAATGCACTGTGCTGCTCGACAAGTAAAAGCCACTTGATCCTTGACACATTTGTGCCCTTCCCTCCCTTATCCTCACCCATCCTCACCCACCACCTTAATAAGGAAGTGAGGGCCATGATCAAATCGTCTCACTCAGTGAATCAAGTTGCTCGCCAAATGTTGGACCCAACTCTGTCAGAGACTCACCTCTGCATCAAACAACCCCTCCTGTTCTTTCTGTTACTTCATCCTTGTAGTTGACGTTGCCTGTCAGTGGTGGAGCTGAATCGCCCAGTAGGAGTACGCGTGTGGCATCGTCCTGCCTCACCCGCTGCCTGTAACCAGTTACATTTCTCTGGCTACTAGGTTGACGCCGTGTGACTACCAGTAGCAGGCCACTGATGTTTGGACATTAAGACCTTATTCTCGGCTAACTACTCTGCTTCAACAGTGGCTTGATTTAGTCCAGCCAGTCGCCCGTTTTTTGTTTTTAGTTCTTCAACCACCAGTGTTAAAAGTCTAGGTTTTTGCCACTGTTTGCAGCAGTGATAGCCAAGTTCATTTTTGTTCTTTCATCACCCTTTTTCTTTTGTTTTCGAGGATAATGGAAAGGAATTTTTTCTTTTTTTTGTGTGTGTATACAGCTTCTCAGAAAGCCTGTTTGCTGACTGCGGCGCCCTCTCCCCCCCTTTACCCTAGTCTTATTACGAAAGCAGCTGCTGTTTTATGTGATCTTGTGATTATTCTGATGAGTTGCAATAAGGATTTTTGCACTTAGCTTTCACTTCTAACTCATGCAAACAAATCGGCTCTTCCATTGTATCCCAGTTGTAGCCTTGTCCAACCCTAAATCTACCCACTTGTGGTTGGTCCACACATTACTTACCGGTTGGTGCTTAGAAAAAGTAAACACTTGGTATGACTAGACAGGGAGCTCGCGCGCACACCTCTGGTTCCAACAACTCTTCAAAAGTTGTTTGATCAAGTTGTGGAGCGTTACTGCGCGTGGGCTCTACTCGTGTTGAGTCCTTCCCCGTCTGACAAATTATTTCACTTATCCGAAGATGATCCGTGCCGTAAAGAAAGCATAAATCACAGAAATGTTCTTGCAAGGGTAGTGTTTTCTCAACAGACCCACCAAACATGCCAGCCAGCACACACTAGGCTCTGGATCATTTGGCTTGTGTTGGATTGGGTGTTGGGACACGGCCTGCTTTTTGTATAAGGGATGTGTGCATTAATAAGACGTGGATGGGTTTGATTTTTACTTGGTACAGGATGGTGCAACTCTGGGCTTGTTTCATTCTTGAAATGGTCGTTGCCTTCCATCCTTCTGTAAGGGAGTTGAGCAGGAGACACTGATATCACACGAGTCAGAAATGTGGGTATATTTAGCATTTTGTAAAGTAATGTGAACTGGTACTGTATTTTTGGCTTATTTTAGGGATTTAATGAATTATTGGAGTTCAATCTAAGCTTGTCTGTGGGCGTAATAAACTCAATTGTTGGAATATGCTTTCCTTTAGCATAGGAAGCTAACAAAGTGTAAATGATTAAAAAAAATCTTGAGTTGTCTAGTTATTAAACAAATTATAAATATTTCCAGTGATACCCTGCCGTAGTAGTGATACAGTAAAATGTGAGAGAGTTGGCTGGGGCGTAAACCCCTCCAACTGTACCTGTAGCTGACTTGTGGGATGTCAATGTTTCCCTCTCCTTTTCCACATTTTTGTTAACTTGTTCACTCCCGTTCACCTTTATGACCTGGAAAGTGGGGTTTCTTTTGTTGTATAAAGCATGCCAGTTTTTAACTTCTGTTACATTTTGGTCACAGATTTCATTTTTGCGTTATAGGTTGGCTTTTATATTCATACATGATTACTGGCTTGTCGGTGAAAGAAAAGAACCAGGCTGAGATTTGTTAAGAGTTGTGCATTCAGGAGTTTCTCCTTGCAAACCACTGAATTAGACTGATAAAAATGTAAACCTCGTATTTAGGGAGATTTTATTTGCCTACAAAGAGTATCTGATTACTGTGAAAGAGGGCCAACGAGTAATTCATGTTGAGGCCACGTTGGTCTCTAAAAATTAATCTTTTGCAAAAAAATAAAAAATAAAACAAGCAAATGTCTTGAAAGTTCTGGTTAGCTTCAGCTATCACAGGTCTGAATAATGTAACATAGGAAGGATCCATGTTTCTTGAATACGAACTTCGCCCTAAAAGTCACACTTAGTGTCCATCAGAGTCTTAGGCTCTGAGACCTTGCAGAGTGCTCATGGAAGGATAATATGGTGTCCAGGGCCGACAGAGGATTGGAGATGAACTGACCTGATGGCCCGTCCACACGCTCTTCATTAAATCAGAAGAATGCATTTAGAATATTTTAGTTGTTTTTCTTTCTCCAGACACCGGACGTCACTATTTTGTGTCTAACACTCCACATTGGCTGAAACCAAATGGTGTGTTTAGTTACAAAAGAGTAGTTACAACCTCCTTGTGTTTCTGTTGCATGAAAACATGTCAGTTACAGGGAATATGTAAAGTGTCTGCTGACAGGAAAAATTTACCAAAATTAAGACTATCAATAGATAGTTTTGTGTTTTTCTAATGAGCTGGCTACGAGCAAGATTGTGCTATATTTCCAATCCACTGTTGAACCTGCAGTGTTGACCCTCATTGATTATCCTGGTTATAATAGAGGGGAGGGGGGGCACTTTGTTTTTCTTTTCTTCCCCTGAGCCAGTCACCGGCCTTCATCCACATTGTTTCAAAAGGCTGACTCATGCCACGTGTCTCTGGAGCCAACACTATTATCAGCTGTTTCTTGATACTTATTTGTTTAAAAAGTAATAAATGGCTAATCTATATACTTAACATTTAATTGTTGGTATGATATATGTGGTTCACATTGTAAAAGAAATAAAACCATTGAGTTGCAATTGGATGGACTATGTTTCATTAAAAAAAAAAAAAGAAAATGGAGAGTTTTGTTTTATTTGGTTGCTTTTAACAAAAATGTATTGCTTAACATTGAATCCATCAGGGTTCTTTATGTTAACACAGCCATTTATATGTCAACTTGCAGCTCTTTAACTTTTGGAAAACGTACGGGCAAGTCACATTTGCTTGTGTGATCACCTGACTAAATATATATTTTTTTCCATTCCTTGCTGTTTGCACATATACAGACTTGTGACACACCATTGAGGAGCGGTAAGCAGGTATAACTAAACATTGAATATAAAGTATAAATAAATATAAAGGTATAATTTGCCTTTTTGTACTGTATTTGATTCTATTTTTTTTTGTCAAAGGAGGTTGAAAATGTACATATTTCACAATGCATTAGCAAGAAGAAAAAAAAAAAACCGATTTGTATGTTTGCTGGAGGGCTCTTTAAAGCTTTAAGATATGTCATTGTACAGATCATTGATTTAGCTGATGTTTACAGGTGGGTAGGAAGGCAAATGCTTGAGTCATGCATTAGAAATATTATAAGCAGACCTTTTCACACCTTGTGACAATTTCTGCACTGAGCTATTCAAGGCTCACAGAGATGACATGATGAGGGGCAACATTTCTGTTAGTGAGGCTCTGTGTTGGGCCAGTAGGGGGTGCCAGAAGACAGCATTAGAAAAACTCACTTTTTCTACATGCAAAGGGTCTATGATGAGGAAATGTAGGAAAACAAGCCTGTAAAGTTTATTTTACCCTGTTCTGATGCTGTAGTGGAGCAATGTCCATCTCTGACTGTGACCACATTCTGATGAAAACTGCCATTGTGAGTCTGTCTCTAAGAGTATGTACTGTCTTAAAGGTTTACTTTTGTTTTTGAACGGTATGGAGCTTTTATTTTTATTTGAGGGTCCCTGATTTGTTTGTTTCATAATGTGACCCACTTGCAAGTGCATTTTGCATGAGACAGCGAAATGCACTTGAAAGTGGGTCACTTTATGAATGTCCAGCCAATGGTTTCACACTATGCCACGGATCAACAGGTGGCAGTAATGCGCCAAAATACACAGCAGTGCGCCGACAAAGGCAGAGAAGAATAAGATTGCCAGCAAGTAAATATGGACGTAAACAATGCAGGATTTAAACTTTGAGCCATTGAAGCCTTGTATGTGAAAGGAACTGCATTCAATATGTTTGTTAGACTTGTTTGCTTATTATCACCATCAAGTGACAATCAGCAGAATTGCATAAAACTGGCAACAGTAACGTCTATTATGCTCCAGCATATTACAGAGACCCACTCATAGAAACATTAGCTCCACGGGGTACTTTTAAATGAAAAAAGTCCAAAATAAATGGACAGCTCAGCCTTCATATCCACAACATAAACATACATAAGACAGAGACGAGCCAACATGGGACAGATCCGCGTTTATATTTATTTATTTGCTGCAGTGTTTTAAGTGTTGGCCCTGGTTTTTTGTGTGCTCACAGAAAATAACAAAGGCATCAGAGCACAGAGGGCTGTCCTGCACACATCGACATGTTGAAATTAAAGGACCAGTGTGTAGGATTTAGTGGCATCTAGCAGCAAGAACCAAGAAAGAAAGAGGCTAGGAAACTTATGAAAGGCCCTATCTAGAGCCAGTGTTTGGTGTGTCTGTTCTGGGCTACTGTAGAATCACCTCATACTCCGTAGAAGAGGACCTGCCTACGTTAAATATAACAGCTTATTCAAAGGTAACGAAAACAACAATTCTTATTTTCAGGTGATTATACACTAATACAAACATGAATATTATATTTCTGCCAATAGAGCCTCCTAAATGTTACACACTGGACCTTTAGGGTTGCAGTTGATCATTTGAAACACAAAATAAAAATAATAGTATTAAATTAAGTTTTATGACAAATGACATAATGACATAAGCCGGTGAAGAAGGAATTAAACAAACACACGTTCTTCAAAATCAAAAATACGACAGACTAAAACAGCAGACTGTGTGTACTGCTCTGTTGCCCAAGTGATCTGTGGACATGAATAATGTACAGCCAACATCCTCAAACACAACTGCTGTTGCTATTGTTTTGGTCCATGGGTGGTATTTTACAAGCTGTGTGTTCCCACATTCCTCCACCCTTCATCTCCTTCCTCTCATTGCTCCTCCTCATCTTCACCTAATGCTGCTGTCAGAGAGCGAAGCGAGCCACACAAAAGGTCCTTGAGGTTCTCCACAGCACACTGAGCAGACTGCATGGACATCACTGGAAAATCAAAACTCAAAAAATACCTAAAACTTTTTGGATGTAAGACTTTTCTCTGCAATTTGGAGCAGCAAACGTTCAAACTACTGCAGCTATGTCACGTTTTATTCATTGTGTGCTTTTCTCATACTAAGACTAGAATCATATAAGGGCTCTTAATAGGACCAAATGTTTTTCCGTGGGCAGAGAAACTTAGGGGGCAGAAGGATGGAAGGTGAGATCTCAAGAGTCAATTCCAGTCTGACTAGAGACCCTGATCCTGACCTGGAACTGGCTGGAAAGGATGTGGATCCTGCTCAAGGTCTCGGGGCAGGACTCAGATCTGGCTGAGAGGCAGGAACTTCTGGTAGTAGCTCTTGGTTACATCAATCATCAGGTCCTGCGTGCACTCTGGGAGCTCTCCTGAAAATAGACCTGAGAGAGAGAGAGAGATGAACACAGGTAAAGACGTGACACGATGGACGGAAGGAGGAAGAGAGTGTTTGTTTGTGTTCGTGTGGTGTAGCTGACCTGGGCATCCGGAGAAGACGGTAAAAGGTGGCACCACTGTCTCAGGAGGGAGTACGGTGTTGTCTAAGATCTTGCAGCAGTCCTTCAGCACACAGCGACGACCCTGTGCACAACAAACAAACAAAAACATTGTTATGTGTCTACGCAACTGTGAATACATTTGTTATGATTGTATGTGGAGCCTCACATTTGTCCCACCAATCACAGTGAGGAACACGCGTGAACTCAAAAGAATATATTTTTTTATATTAGGGGTAGGGGCGATTCATCCTAGATTGTACTTTTACAAGGATAATACACAGGGCTCGGTATAAGCAGTGTTGGGCTAGATACTCAAAAAAATGTAATTTATTACTCCCTGCCAACATTAATTAGTTACACTACTAGTTTATATTACTTTTCTGCTACTCCCCACTAAATTGGTAATGTTGTCCCTTCTCCCTAAGAACGATTAAAATACAGTTTTGTTTGTTTGTTTGTTTGTTAAAATCAAAGTAATGGAATATTTCCAGCGGCTGAATGTAAACCTTTCCATATCCCAAACTAGTTTCCTCCACAATTACTAAAATTAATCCAAGGATGTGATTGGATTGTTGGATTTCAGATCAGTAGAGGGTGACAACAGAAGTAGCTGAATTCTTTTGTAATATTTTTACTGAAATGTATTTATAATTAGTTACACTACTAGTTGCTGGGGAAAGTAGTACCATTACTGTATTATTACTAGTAATAAGTTACTGCCCAACACTTGGTGTAAGTACATATCTACTGTATTTTTTATTTAAATTGTTCATTCTAATGGCATTTCTATTTTTATAATCGAGAGGCTGTTTATATTGTGTTGGGTTTTTAAAATGCAGTGTTGCCAAAACTTCAGCTAATGAAATAAAGTCTGAGCAGTATATCCACCACTGTACATTGTTCCTGCTTTTTTTAATTAACATTTTCTGTTGTTTATCATCATGTTTTGCATGGTCAGGTACCTGTCCTCTAGGATCTTCGTTTATATTCTGAACAATTAACCAGTAAAACGAAGAAATATATAATTATGTTGTTTTATACTGAAAATAATAATAGAATTATAGAAACCAAAATCAAGACATATGACTATGCACAATTAACAAAATTCTCTGTTTATAAAACCCTGTTAAAATCAGCCGTTTCAATAGTGGAATCCAGCAAGGAAACAGTAATTAAATGGTAATTTGATGTAATCTGCCCCTGCTATTGTCAGACTGCTCAACTGCAATAATACTTAAAACATTTAATTAAATGTGTTTCACGTCATATTCCGCACCAGGTCTGTGCCTGTCTGTGTTCAAAGCAGCCTGCCAGCAATTTGCTGCTGCGTTTAGTTCTCCTGAAGATGACTATCATGTGACTGTTTCCCCACAGGCGAGAGCAGACAGTGCCTCTGTTTATGCCCTCTTCATTGGGACAGAGCTTTGTCTCTTTCAGCGTGGTTTCCTTATTCTGATGATCGGCTTGGTTGTTTGTGTATGTGTGTGTGTGTGTGTGTGCCAGCCATCTCACTCACTATGACACAGTTCTTGCCAATATGGACATAGGAACCAATCTGTGCTGCATTGACCACACAGTCCTCCTCGATGAAGACGTGGTCTCCGATGTGCAGCGGGAAGAACGCCACTCTGGAGGGAGACAGTGAGGGAGGAGAAAGAGATGAAGTTGAGGTTTTTGTTTACACGCAGCAACCAGAAATATGGAATTCTTCCTGTCGATTTATTGATAAACTGACTTACAGAAAATCAATCTGCTACAATTTTGAAAATCGGCTGTTTTAGTCATTTTTGGTTCCAGTTTCTCTGTGAGGATTTGCTGCTTTCCTTTGTCTTATAAGAGAGTCACATGATGAATGGATTTGTTGTGCAAAGCAATTTAAATAGTACATTTGCATAGGTCACATTTGTTTCTGGGACATTGAGATAAGCAGTTTTTATTATTTTCTCACATTTTACAGATGAATATATAATGAAAATAATCGTTATTAGCTCTACAACTCTGTGATGTATTGATACAGTATTGGTATTGATATTTGAATCTGCCTCGTCTTTAATTCTGTGTCACATTTAAGTGAGTTTTCTGAACATATATAACTGTCCTGAATTAAATAAAGAATAAATGTGTTTGCCTGTTGTCCATTTACATTCTGATAATTCATATATTCTCAGTTTAAAAGTTTATGAAAGCACCACCAGTCACACCCAGGTCATCATCACATCATCCAGTCAAAAAACAGGAGAAAAGGATGGTTTACCCTTTGCTGAACTTTTTAAAAGGTGGACGGATGACACTCCGGCTCTTCACCACACAGTGTCTGCCCACCCTGACATTAGCCAGGTCCCCTCTGATAATGCAGTCATTCATGACAATAGTCTGGAGGAGAGAACACACACACACACACACACACACACACACACACACACACACACACTCAATTTACAGTGTACCACAGCCTAACAGAGCGCACTGATAACAACATCAGTGCCTGTACAGAGAGCTGTATAATCCACAGGCAGGCTGATGTATTTCTGCTTACTTTGCCATTGAGGACGATGTTTTGACTCCCGCACAGCACCGACTGTCTGCTCACTTTGTTGCCAGAAGCCTAAAAACCAAACGGCAGAAATGGTTAATAATCGCATTACAGTGTGTTTCTGTGTTTATTGTCTGTCTGTCTGTCTGAACTGAGCACAAACAATGACTGCAGCCATCCAACGCCCAACGCCAGCTAGCTAAATAGCAAGCGACTAGCTAGCTGACAACGGCTTGAAATCAAACACATTACCGTCTCAATGTACTCCGCTTTGTTGTACAGTATTTCAGACAACTCCATGGCTGGGAATTTGGTCAAATGTTTGAGAGAAGTGGGGATAAATGCGTAATAACGACAAACACATCGATGTGTTGTTGCTCTCCGCTGCGCTGTCAGCCCTCTCAGCCTCTTCTTCTTCTGCACACTGTTGAATGGGTTTTCAGACCGTACGAGTTGAGTGTCAAATCATCAACGGATTTCGTTAAGACAAACAAACGAAAAAGTCCAGTGGCTTTTGTTTTAGTTCAGTTGTATCGTGTGAGTTATATTTATATAAATGCAGTGCGTAATTATTCTGCTCCTTCGGGTCATTTGGCGTGGTCATTTTTCAACCACTAATCCCTAGTGTGATTCTGTGATTGATTGGTCTTCCTTGAGCTGAACCCAGTGTATCAGAACTTTTATATTTGACCTTTTATCAAAGTAAATGTGGCGGGTTATTTTTATTTTGATTGCCTATTTAGTAAATAAGATTGTACAAAACCCAAATAAAATAAAACATGCACACTAAAGACACAACTTGAGTCGTGCGCATGCGTATTATGGAGCCCTTGACCCCGTTTCTTCTTCGCCGTGCACGCTGGGAGCCAGTCACTTTTCTCCGTCATGGCGGCCCGTGTCCTGCAGCAGTGTGTCCGCTCGCTCGCCCGGCCCTCGCTGAGGCTTTGCTCCGGTAACCCGGCAGTGAGAGCCGCAGCCGCCCCGGCAGTAGCCATCCACCGACCCCTGTCCTCCGCCGCAGACAGCCGGAGGACGCGGTGGCTCGGACAGAGTCGGGTGAGTCCGCTGTAACATTGAAGAGTCGTGGCCTAGCGCTCGCTGCTGTGACCTACCGACGCCTTTCAAACCGGTCCGGCTAACGTAGCCCGCTAAAAGTTAACGCTGGCACGCAACGACGTTTTATTTTCCAATGGGCGGAAATGTGTTGGTGCAATATTCTCCTTTAAATCCATAAAACCTTGTAACGTCATACGTTTGGTTACACAACGGCCATGTTTTGCTTGTTGGCTAGCTAGCTAGTTATTTAGTTAGCAAAGTTGAGTTCATTCACATTTGTGTTGTTTTCTCTCTCTCTCCTGCAGTCGAGAGAGGATGTCTGACCTTTATCTAGGGGATTCTGCGTTATCAAAGTTCCCTTAATATCAAGAAGCAAGACACTAGTACTTATATAACACATTCAGTTCATTGGAATCACAACAAGTCAGGACATAATGCTAGAAAATAAAAAACACCCTCCAACCGAGAGAGTAATAAACTGCACACACACACACACACACACACACACACACACACACCACTAACTAAGAAAGAAAGAAAGAATAGAAACGTTTTCACTTTAGCTTTTGTTTTTTGAAAACCTCCACCTGATAATCTGAGAGGTCAAGACTAAGACTGCCGGTCAATAGAAGACAGACTAAATACAGCAGCTCCCGATACAACACAACAGACATGAAAATACACATTAACTAAAAATAGAATAGAAAAATACAAGATATAATAAAAACCAGAACAGAATTAGAGTTGTATGTACACTATATACAGCTTTTATATACAGATGTGATTGAAGTGGAACAGGTCACAGCAGGAGCTAGTGACATGGTATATAAATAAATAATGACACAGGACAAAACACAATACTGTATAATGGAATATATAGGCTGTAGACAAGGCTATGAATACACAGTATAGGTCTAATACTAGTAATGTGCATGTAGGAAATTATTTATATATATGTATGTGAAAATGTACAGGACTAATAGTATATTAAATAGTGCAAAAAGTGACTGTGATAAGTGTTGACGGAGACAAACAATGCTACATTATGTTGTTAGAGGAAAAGGTAATAAGGAACCAGAGCAGACAGATTTGAGGTCAGTTTTGTGTCGTACTAGGAGCTATAGAGTGATGTTCTGCAGTAATGTGATAATCTTTGTTTGTACATGTAAGAGAGAGTTACTGTAGTCAAACAGTAAACCTGGTTGAGATTAACGTATTAATAACATAATGAAGCATAATTTATTGTGAATTAAAATGTTACTATTTATCCCTCCTTTATGCTTGAGATCATCCTCTTCCAGACTCTCCTGAATCACCGTGCTCAACGTGCTCTCGAGCCGCAGCCTGTTATAACCTTGTGACCCCCAGATCTGAAATGAGTTTGACTAGCTTCAAACTTGCTCATGACCTATGACCAATGTCCACCTCATCACACCAGCTCCGGACCTTCTTCATCCTCCTCTTCCTCCTCCACAGATTCCCTCAGTGGGCGTGTTTTGCCGACAGTATGGAGACTTGCCCCCCTTCACCATAGAGGTCATTAGAGATCGTGTCATGTATGTCCTCAAGCTCTACGACAAGATCAACCCAGAGAAGGTGAGCGGACCACCAACTAGCTAAAAAACTGTCAGTGAAGGATGAATGGGTTGTGTCGGTTACATGACAGCTTATGTGTGTTAATGTTTTTGTTTGTTTGTTTATTTGAAGGATTTTTACTGGGTTAAAACTCGCCAGAATCACTTATTTTGCTGATGGTATTCTGCTAGACTTTGTTTGGTCTGCATTTGGCCAGAGACCACGTTAACATCCACACAAGTGATTTTGATTCTTTCCTGGGATCATGTAAACGAGACACATTTTTGAAATATTCATGATTTCTATTCAGATCACGATTGGGGGTAAAAATGACATTTCTAATGCCCTGTGTTACGTTCTGCTCCACAGCTGCAGACATCCTCTCACTTCATGAAAGACCTGGGTCTGGACAGCTTGGACCAGGTGGAGATCATCATGGCCATGGAGGATGAGTTTGGTGAGTTTGGTCTGCCGGCACATCAGCCTCTGTGTGTTTGTGTGTGTAGCTGCTGGTCTGTCACAGGGTGCACTGCATGGAAAACTATTACAAAGTGAGGGCCTGGCCATCAGGCCAGCAAAGAAGAAATCGTATTTCTGGGTAGGAGGAGGTAAAATAGCTCCGATTTGGTGCAGAAGTGCAACAGCACTACTTAAAAATACAGGTTTAATGGACTTTAAAAAATCTATTATGAAAGGAAAGACAGTTATAAATGAGTGCAGTTGTAGATTTGTGTGTTTATTCACTGTACGAGTGCATTTTTAGGCTAAAATGATAAAATGTATAATACTAAGAGTCAAAGTCTTATAAATTTGGAAAATCCTTAATTTGAACTGGTATGTTTTCAAGGTTCAGAATATGCTTGAATATAAATCTACTAAATAAATAAATAAATAAATCTACAAAAATAATCTGATGTTTCATTCATACAGTCACTCAAACCAAAAATCTTTTCATATTTGAAATCAAACAAACTCGTCATCATATTCGTGTATTGTATTCTGTGTTCACTTGTCATTCATAGTCCTTTGTTGATCCCTTACTGGAAATTAGCATCATCATTAAATCTTTTATAATCAAGACAAAGAACAGCTGGTAGAATAAACAAACACAATATGCATTGATTGCTGTGGGAATAAAGAAATTCTGTAAACTTTATCTTTCACAGTTGCATTTATAGTAACAATTTCGATTTAAAGTGTACCTTAAAAAGTGCTTGTTTTTTTGGGGGGGTTTTTTTACTCTTAAAAGCTGTTAAAGTGTGTGTGTGTGTGTGTGTGTGTGTGTGTGTGTGTGTGTGTAATTTAAATACACATTTAGTACAGTTTAGTAGTAGTACAAACTGGTCCGTGTTCAGCTTTGTGACTATGTGTTTTCCAGGTAATAGTATGAGAATAGAGCTGCAAGGATTAGTTGATTTATTGATTAGTCAATTGACAGAAATTGAATTTTATGAATCGATAAATTCTTTAAACCATTATTTTTAAAAGTGCCAACTATTCTCTGGTACAGCTTCTCAAATGAAAGGGCTTGCTGGTTCTGAAACTGAATATCTTTCGGTGGCGCTGATGGGACCAGGTAGACGGATGGCCACAGTCTTTGTGTTGAATTAAAATCTTGTATTCTGTGTGTTTCTTCTGCAGGCTTTGAGATCCCTGACGCAGAAGCAGAGAAGTTGATGAGTCCTGAGGAAATTGTACAATATATCGCAGACAAGAAGGACGTTTATGAATAGCTTGTTCTATAGTTCACTACAGAGGCAAGTCTTTCTGTCAGCCATGTTTTCTCTCCCTCTTCACTGTCTCAGTCACACGTATGCATTCTGTTTATTTTGTTCCTGTGTCATCAACATTGTCCGTTTCTTCCACAGAGGTTGACGCCAGCGTGACCCCACAGGAAGTACTCGTGAAGCAGATCTGCACCAAACCATTTCCCACTTCCTCCCGTCAGCTCTTCTGTCCATTACGGCACTGTTGGCTGCCGTGTCTTGTGTTTGACTGTATTTAAATGAACATGTGTTTTGGGAGCTTGGAGATAAAACAATATTAAACAAGGTTATATCACAGTTTTTTTCTTTCTTCCAGCTCTAACCTGTGGTTCCGATGTATAATTTCTCATAATTAGATCAATAAAGACACATGCTGTATAGATCTGTCTCTCTGCGGTGATATTCATTCCCATATGAATGGAGGAGCATGAACATGTTATTTAACTGTCACTGAGTTCATATTAAATGTTTAGTTCTGGTATTGGATAGAGTGATATGTGGTAAAACCGTACCAACACTAAATGAGGAGCATCGGCAGCGACTTCACAATATATTCAGATTGTCAATTCACTGAGATCAAAGAGGTTTTATTTTTTATATTAAGTGATCATTTTTGTCCCAAATCAGGGATTTTCCAATATACACAGTACACAAACACCGATCAAAGTGATTAGATAAGATATGGATGTTTAATTCAGAGTAAAAGAGTAACAGATTACATTTCCCACAAGAGATTTACAGATTATGTATCTGTCTGAATGTACAAATAAAAGTACAGTTATGGTTCCAGGCTCTCGATAATCATTTACAATTAAAATATAAGAATACAGTTAATTAAAACACGATAAAAGAAAGTTATAAAAGCACAGTTCATACAAAATATATACCAATTTAAGTAAAACAGCAGCAAACAGTGGAACACTTTTTACTCATAGATTTAAATTCACCAGTAAGGCATACAAGAGTATTGATCTTTCGGGTGCTTTGTAAGGAATTCCACTCCAGGTAGCAGGAGCATAAGAATTAAAAACTAGTATGAACTGGAGGAACTCCGTGATAGCAGTCATTAGATAATGTTTGATAAGGTCCTATGAGAGAGAGTTATAATGCAGGATATCATGTTTTGCAGTAATGTGTTGGTCCTTTAAGGTCTAAATACGTCTTCCACCACCCGTTCAAATAAATGAATAAATAAAGTTTTCCTTCACCAAATGTGGGTTAACACAGTACAGCTTCACCTGAGACCAAGAGAATAAAAACTAATTTGAACATTAAGTTCACTTTTTAAACCGCACCCCACTTTTAAAGGTTTCTCAGTCATTAAGAAGAGAATACCAATTTGGAACTATATTTATGGTTTACTTCAAAGTATATCTGTAGCTTTAATATAACCAAAAGCTTCAACATAAGTGATGCATGTTAAACTCTCCATGAGATACACCATATACAAATGTACACAAATGTTCAGTAAAAGAGTGAATTCTTGTCATTTAAAATATCTTAATTTGATAAATGATCCTTTTTGTTTTTACTACTTAAGCTAAAACATGGACGCTTATAAAAAGCAGATAAAAACAATGTGAGGGATTTGCAAAGATGCATTTCCTTTTTTAAACAGAAATAAAAAGATTTAAATGTCACAGGTTTGACAGTTTTACCAAGAAGGAGAAATAAAGACACCGGGAGGCAACAGCTGAGTCATTGTTAGTCTTTTATTGAGGGTTGTACCCAAGTTTTACAGCTTTGTATGACGGCTGCAGGAGCCAGAGGGTTACAAACAGTAATCAGTATACGAGTACAGCCAACAGAAGACCTACTACCTACTACTCTACACCTTAGTACAGATTCTCTTAAGAGCACTAAAATCCAGAAAAATAAGAGGAAAAAAATACAGAACAAACCAAGCAACAAAGGAAGGAGAATAAAAAGATTAAATGAAACCAAACAAATAGACAGCATCAGAGGAGACATTCATTATTAGAGCACACTGGAGTTGGTTTTCTATACCTTGTAATATCAGGCGACTTTGTTTTTGTCAATTTTTATACCCATACAAATAAAGATTGTCCTTCAAAAGTGCAGTTTCCCCCCAAAGTTTAAGATAAAATCCTTTGATGACCCTAGGAAGACATTTGAAAATAAAAAGGTACTTCCTGTTTTTGTTTGTAAGAGAGGAAGACTTCCTCTCCTTGATTATAGACACTGTACGTTTATATTTTCATATATATATATTATATATAGTTTCAACAGTCTCCCAAAGCAATGTGCATAATAGGTTTACAGGTGATCCAACTACACACTGTGGATTGATAGAATCTCTATAAAAAACATTGTAGTTGTGTAAAATTTGCAGTTTCACCGGCCTCACTCCCCTCGGCTTATCGAGGAGGAGACAAGCTGTGAAGATAAAGAAATGGACTTTGCAAATCTTAACCTGTCCTCCTCTCGTGCTACAACTGGCCCGGCGGTTGCTAGGTAATAAAGGTTTTTTCAGTTTTTATTATTATTATTAGTAGTAGTAGTAGTAGTAGTAGTACTAGTAGTACGATTCAACGATGGCACAACATGTTTGAGGAATATTATTGGGAATCCCATCTCAGCTGTGTTTTTAAAAAGTTTTTGGGATTTTTTTTTTATTATTTAAAGAAAGCAAAAAACCCAAGGTGGACATGGAAGCCTGGGTTCAACACTCCACTGCATAGTCTCTCTGAGCGACACCCACCCCTTCCCCTCTGTACTGTAACCCGCCCGCCCCACCCCGATAACCCGCCCGCACCCACCCACATCTTTGTGCTGGTTAGACTAAAGCTTTTCAGGGTTTGTTTGTGTGTTCATACTAAATGTAAAATGACAAAAAAGACAGCAGATTCTCACAGTTTTTGTGTTTTTTCTTTTGTTTGTTTTTTTTGTTGTTTTTTTTGTGTCAAAAAAATAGCTGTAGCGCTTTTGATCGACATTAGGAGCCGTTGGGTGTGTGTTATGATATAATATAGCATTTGCTCACAGGATAGTTAAGTCAAGAGAAAAACAAAGTCACATTATTTTTTATTAAACATTAAAAAGTAGTAGAGTATCACCAGCCAGCTTCCCTCCTCTCCTACCCTCTTTCTTTCCTTCCTTCTTTCCTTCTTTCCTCCCTCCCCTCGTCTGGCCCTATCGGGAAGCTGCTTGGCAGCCCTGGGGATTGTACATTGCTCATGGTGGTTTTCACTTACTGAAAAGGTTTCCTCACATCATCCTTTTGCAAATGACATTTTTTCTTCAAGCATTTAACATTGTCCAGCTTTTTAAATACACATACACACACATACACAACGACCCAAAAAAAAAAAAAAAAAAATCAAATCAATCCCTTTCCTTCCCTCTCACCCTCCCTCCTCGATTTGGCATGATAATGTGTTCGAACACACACACACACACACACACACACACACACACAAACACACACAAACACACACGCAAACACACACTGTTTCTGTACGAGACTGGGTTTTTGCATCTTCCCACAAGACACAGACAGACAGACACACACACACACACACACACACACACACTAACAGTAGATTGGACGAGACAGAAAGAGCAGATTAAGCTGGAAACCAAAACAGTAACATCAACATCAATGAGAGGCGTTTTACAGACGTTGCTTGTCCCTTCTCTAACAGCAGAGCAATGCAGCCTCCTAGCTCGTGGCCCGGGATCAGTTTTTGTCCCACTAATGGTTAAGGTAAGGATACTGAGGAGGGACAAAACTGCTCCCGGATCAGCGCCAGGAGAGAAGCATCGTCAAAAATCAGAATGAACGAAGTGTCAAATTATTTCAGCAAGAGCGGAAAGGGAATCTAGACTATTAGAGTTCACCTGCCCCAGACCTTCTGTCAGTTTATGCGTTTCCACTCCTGTAGTTAAGCTTAGAAGTTGGAGAGGGAGAGCTGATCCTGGATAAGCCAGCAAAGAGGCAAATGTAACCCTGTGTCCCTGAAAAGCCAGGAAGAACCAGCTGATCACAAGTCATATCCCCTTGCCTGAGTCACTACAGGCCAACAAGAAGCATCGCTTCGTTTCAGTCAAGCTACAGACACGGGCATCTCCACGCCCACCAACGATCGCTGTGACAACCAGGCGCGGTCAGAATGGTAGTTGAATACTGATTCAGATACAAAAAACAATGAGCAGTGATTGCTTTACTTGATTTATTTCCGTGCGGTCAGAATCCAGAGAAGGCCGATCGAGGCGCCGGCCGCCGTTTACACTTTTTAAACCGTTTTCAGCTACATTCTGGCTCAGTTCAGGCAGCGCTGCGACGTCACCGCAACTGGCCTAGTGAACAGGGAGAGGTAAACCTGGAGAGAGGACGACAACCCTCCCCCCTCTCCTTTTCTCTCCCTCCCTCACCGGGGGCAACAAAGCACCATCTTCTCAAGCTACAGCAAACACACACACAAAAACTTTCACTTCAGATGAGAACATGTACACACACACACACACACACATTACCCTGTCACAATACTCAGACGCACCCTCTCCCTCAGACAGAGCTGAAAATCCAAACTATGCCACCGTCGTCACCAGCAAGCTGTCTGTCTGTCTGTCTGTCTGGGCATTGCTTTCCGCTCGCTCGGCCTTTAATCTAATCCACCCAAGTGCAAAATCCAAGGCTCCTCAGTTCAATTTGTCAAATTAAGTTAACTCAAAAAACGAATGACAAACATTGGTTCAGATGTTCCACTCGATAACAATTTGTTAAACAAGACAAAAAAAAATACAAATAAGATATATATATATATAGTTTAAGCAAAGAGATCTGGAATTAAGTAAACTAATCTTTTGAATTATTTGGTAGAGAGCAGTTCAATACTGGCACACACCACTGTCAAGTCTGGCTAATACTCAAGGTTCTGTCTCACTATGTATGCTTTAAAGTTGTTAAATATTCACGGCTAAACTGAAAAACACACCTAAAGCCAACAATTCGAGTACTTCTGAGATAAAACCTATATCGGAGGGGAAAAACACGCACACACACGCACACAACAGGCTTATCACAGAATAATTACACGATGAAGAAAAGAAATTAAGGTCCATGGCTTCGCTAATGCTGACTTCTCGTTCACACACTCTGAAGTGTTTGTCTTTCCCCGGATATTGTGCATCATAGTAACTAAACAATCACTGGTAGGTAGGTGAATCTATTATTCACGTGTGTATTTTTGTCGACAAACACCACAGGTGGATTTACATTCACGCTGTTCTCACACACAACCACGCCCCCCCTCCCCCCTCCCACCCACAACCCAAAAACCTTCCCCTCCAGCGGTAGAACTCACATCTGCCGGTACAGAGCATCCTAACACACGCACACACACACACACACACACACACACACACACACACACACGATTCATCAGGTCAGGAACTTCAGATAAGTACCCCCTCCCCTCCCCTCCCCTCCCCTCCCCTACCCACCCAAAAGAAAAAAAAACAAACAAAACCAAAACAGTACAACAATACAATCATATTCTATTTGTAAACAGGTAGAAGCCACTTGACTTGTTGTTGCATCTTCGGACACAATTAGGATCAAGGCAATGAAATGTGGACGACTTTTGCACTGTTAAAATAGTATCTTCAACCAAAACAAGATTTTTAAAGTTTTTCTTCTTTCCTTTTTTCAAAACACCATTTGTGGCAATGAGAGTGATAAAAAAAGCAAGTAATATTTCGCATTTTGTTGTACTAAATGAAACATTTAAAACATTTTGAGACACGGGAAAAAAAAAAGGGGGGGAAAAAAGAAAACGCCTCTCAGTAGGCCATGTGAGAGGCTACAGTATGCATAGATACAGATTCGCCTTTCTCTTGGTTTATAAGTCTGACAAGACAGAACATTTTCCACTGACAGTCACACACTCACACAATAAACACTCCCCACTTTTGATTTTTACATCAGTGGAGTGGAGGACTGGAGGAAGAGGAGGAGAGAGGGAGCGTTGCGATTTCTACAGCCCGTCCTCCATCTCCCCACATTAGGACCCCCCCTAACCTCCCTCAAAAGACAGCATATTGAAAGCAGTGTGTTGAGCTTCTCCAGCTTAAAGCAGTTATTTGGCAGAGAAAAAAAACTTACAGACCTATACATAGTTTTCAGTGCTAGAAGTTGGATTTTCCTTTCCTACAAGGAGTAGTTTTTTTTTTTTAATTCACCTACAAGGGGGGGAAAACTGGCTTGATTTCCTGAGAACCATTGCTGGTTATTTAGCAGACAAAGAGGAATAGTTGAAATAACCAACGCCATGGCCAAAAACACTGATCCGAATTCCCAGAGTTACAAAGCATCGTCTTCATCCTCAATAGGAGTTTAATTTTTTTTGTTGTTTTTCTGTTTGTTTTATACATTTTTAAAAGTTTTTTTATAATGTTTTATTATTTTTTTGTATTTTCTATTTTATTCCATCTTCTCTTTAAAATGAAGAATGAACACACGTTCCGCCTCCTAAGTCTTGTAAACAAGAGGTGTCAGTGTGGCACCTCCAAAACATTGAAAGCCTATTCTGAAAGTGCTGTTACCCCCCTGCCCACTAGAGGGCTAGTGGGAGGGCTTGCTAGATAGGCCCCGCCCCCTACATTAGGGTGGGCGGGGCTTGCTAGTCCCAGCTGCGGCTACAGTCCTTTGCACTGCAGAGCTCAACGTTCTTTAGTTTTAAAACAAAATTGGTGCAATACTTTTTAATGTCACTTTTACTATCACCAGATAATCCTCCTAAGTCAGCTTTTATTCTTCTTTAACTATCTGTTGATCTTGAACTCCACGACAACGCAGTAAGGTAGGCGTGCCAAGGCAGAGAGGAGCGCACACATACTCATTCACACACGCAGTCGCACACAGAGTACTTCCACACACACATACACACACGTGCGCGTGCACACGCATACACACATACGGTAAGGACCTCAATGAGTAAACAGCTACACTGGAAAAACTGGCTGCTCCCTCTATATTGCAGATTATATATACTGAGAAAAAACCACATTCAGTGCAAAGTTAAAAAAGCTCATACTCCAACATTGTCAGCAAACAAATGCAAAAAAAAAAAAACAAACAAAAAGAAAACGTTAAAAATGAAAATAATTGGAATTCAAATAAACATGACGAATGAAACAAAAAATATATATATAATAATAATGAGCTCGATTGAAGCTTTTTTCGGTCTGAAAGAGCACTACCTGGAAGCAAATATCCATCCGTTCACATTATAGAATTGGCCTGCATGATTCAAGTATTCCGACTGATATGTTTTTGGGCTAAAACAAAGTGGACATATGTGCAGAGAGAGAAACGTAACTTGTTTTCCACAGGGGAGACCCTTGTTGAATATCTTGTAAGTGAGAAAGAGTCCAACTAGTGCCATTGCGTTTATAACTACTTATTTTTTTTTCATTTTCTTCTGATGATTATTGATAATTCTCTACTGACCCTTCCCCCAGCCTGTTTGATTGGCAGGCGGTTCACATGGAGTCCCCTCCCCCTGTCAGGTGATCCACCGGGAGGAAGGAGCTGATTGGAGAAGGGCTGCTGATCCTCCCTGCCTCTGTGCCACTGGGGCTCCCCCACAAGCTACTGGAATAGTTGGGCCCGCCCCAGAGGGAGGAGCTGTGGAGATCGCTGCTGTTCCACTGGTTAGGTTCAGGAGCGCGGCTGGGAAAGGGGTGAGACTGATCCATTCTGCTCTGAGAGGAGCCGATGGTCTGCCAGCTAGAGGAGGGAGTGGCCAATGACTGCCCTTGTGCAAAGAAACGGTTGATTTCCTCCTCGCTGGCAAAGTCAGCCAGAATAGTAGTGTTCCCCAAAACACACCTGCAGAGAGACAACAGGAGAGAGACAGAGTGTGAGTGTCTGCTGCTCCAAAACATACACAATCACTACGTTTATATGTACGCAGGAAATCAGGTTACCACAGAATGCGTTTAAATGCACGTTGTAACATGGTCACAGTACAAGTGTTGTACATGCAGGAAGTTAATAGTTAAAATTATCCCCTACCCCCGGGCCTTTGAGAGCTTTACTTAATTGCTTTCTGATTGTATTATTTTTGTGTGTGTGTGCTGGAGGAATAGCAAGAGCACAGGCTTTCCTGAATTTGAAACAGAATTACCGTCGTACACTTGCCTCCGGTTTACATCCATGTCCGTCCAGACTCTATTCTATCCCAAGTATTCGAAGGAAGTGGATGAAAAGGTATAACGTGTAGTTTTGGCTAAATGGAATCACTAAATTGATGGTACATGCATGGTTTTAGTGAATGTACACTTTAACAGATTAATGAAGGATAAGATTTAGATGTACTTGATTACTATGTAAAGAAGGATCTGTATAGTTATACAAAATGTTGTGCTTTCGTTTTCAGATTTTAAATCCTCACTACGAGCTGTAGGTGAAAGTCACTCACTGGATCACCATCAGCTAGGTGCACTCCAACACATCGTTTGCTGTTGTGTGATTAAATACTGTTTACACATTGTGTTGTCCAAGTGTGTCAAGGCCAAAAGAAATTAGCTTATAGGTAAAAAATGTAGTTAAGTTATCCTACTTCATGTAAACGCACTGAATGTGTCACACAGCCAGAATACAGACGCAGACGTCCATTTGTCTTTCCAGGCATCGACTAACTCATTTCATTTTCTAATGTGACCGAGTAAATTATTGAACAGGTCAGTCAATGTGACATTACGAGTCTGGGTCAAATACAGGATGACTGCTTTAATACAGAAATGGAAATGTAGAGTGTGTGATGTGTGTGATGTGTGTGTGTGTGTGTGTGTGTGTGTGTGTGTGTTCACGATGTACTTACATGTGCAGGCTCTTCTGGGCCTTGGCGGCCTCATCCTTCGAGCTGTAGCATACCACAGCGTTACCGTGCGGCAGGTTGAGGTGGAATGTGATCAGAGGGCCGTGCTGCATGCACAAGGTCCTCAGGGTAGAGCCGTCAATCTGTGAAACAACAACAAACACACATGGGACAAACAAGGATTAGAAACAAGCATTTCTGCATTAAGCAAATGCAGAGAAATATCATGCACAAACATTTCCTGTGTTCAGTTTGCTAAATGTGACAAAAACACAGAGGCTCATGGGTAACATAGTATTTTGAGCCATCTGCCATGAAAAAATAAATCAGGATTTCTCAGTAACGAAGATGAAATGATTAAAACTGGACATTATCCAGGAGGTCTCATGTTTCCACATTATTAAACATTGAGGATATGGGTTAAAGAAAAAAAGTAAAAGGGGATTACCCAAAGGGAAAAACGTAGCTAGAACCAGTTGTGCCTCCCACTCCCATCTACTCAATATAAAATGCCAATAACAAAACTAAGATGAAACATATTTATGTTCGTGCAAGTACCTGAGGTGTGAGATTCTTCAGAACAAGCCATTGGGTTCTCCCTGAGCTGCTGCTGTCACCCCAACTGGAACCTGCAAATACACATAATGAGCATTTTAGTTAAAAAACAAAGACTGCAAGTGTGAGATTGGAAAACAGGTGGAAGGATTCAGGTTATTGGTGTCCTCTAGCCATACAACATGGATGAAATAACTCCCATACTTTGTAGTCTTGTGGTACCAGACAATCAGATATCAGCACCTAACAATCGTCTAGGGACGGTCACTAACAAACATACAACTCTTACTTCAAGGACACGCCTGAAACAATGGTCTACCCCCATTCTCCTCCGTATAGTGAAACAGAGAGCTTTTTAAAACGTTATATGGTACAACACTGTGGGGACATGATTTCCACATATCACCGTTCTAAGGACTTCAGATTGAAGGTTTTTATTTTAACTTTAACTACCAAATTAAAACGTATTAGCAAATAATCTGTATTTGTGCTCCACATAAATCTTTTGACGCAGTTTAGTCCCAGACAACAAACCAAAGGCTAGATCAATCAAGTTGGTTTTGCATATTCTGCAACAAAAGTGTTGTTTGAAGTGTTTGAATGTTTAGTAAAATAGTTATTGACCAAAACAAGTTGACCATTTTTAAAGTATAGTTCTTGCCTTTGACGGTTTCTTATAGTAAAAGAATGATAATAAAAATCTGACCAAACACTATTGAAACATTACTACAGGTAGGGTCGTACATGTGTGTCTCCCTCTGCCCTCACCAGGTGTGTATCTGGACTCAGAGGAGCCCCACCCTCCCAGCCTCAGGGCAGAGCCGTCCCAGCCGGAGGAGGCAGAGCTGGGCTTCTGGCTGGTGAGGCCAGGTGGTGGTCTAGAGGGGGCCGCCACAGACAGCGCCTTGGGAGGCAGGGGGACCTTCCACAGCTCATGGGCCAGAGAGGAGTTGGACACAGAACCACCGCTGGGAGACCACTTTGACTCGCTGGGTCTGGCTGCAAGGACAGAAGAGAGCAAAGCGGAATGTTTTAACATCTTCTGGTCCATTGTCACATATTTGCTTACAGATCTAGGACTTTGATTTTATTCTACTGTTGTCACTCTGGATATAATCAATATTTAAAACGTCTTTCTCCTTCTATGTGAACTACAAACAGGAAGGCATACCTGAAGTGCTTTGTGCTGTACTGGTGAGGGAACCGCTGTGGGTGGAGGCACGAATGGATGACCAGGCACTGTTAGAAGGCATCGTGGTGTTCAGTGATGAGGATGGCCCTGGGAAACAAAAGGAGAAGGATTAGTGTCTGTTAGTCTGTTTAGTGTTCAATAGGATTTTCTCTAAGCTGCTCATCAACCCTGAATTATTTCAAATGTCTTTCAAAAAATTTTTTGTAACAAAAATGAAGAACTCGATATTTAAGAACTACAAGTTGCTGGCTCAGAAGGCTGAAAGACTGCAAATGCATTAATCACCTGTAGCTACAACCTGATAATGAGCTCTGCGCACCATATCGGATGAAATGTTGACTAATATTATGTAAATCTTAAACAAACAAACAAACAAACAAACTCACTCACTCAACAACAGGCGTGGTCTAAAACCCAACACTAGTTTGTGCCCATGTCTGGCCGTGTGTGTGTGACCTACCGTTGTTCCTGTCCCTGAGGTGGTCTGTGTCGCGGACGGTGTTGATGGAGAGGTTGTTGATGACACTGCCGGGGGTCACATAAGGGTCAGTCTCAGGGTCAATGTTGGGGTAACCTTTCCAAGGCTCCCCGGGCCGGAACTCTGCACAAACACAGACAGACACAACACAGTTAGCGATTTGTTTTCAGTGCAAACATTTTCTTTTTTGTTTTCGTGTATGAAAGCAAGTGTACCTGGGGGCCAGGTGACAGTGTTTCCATGGGGCGGGGGGGAGTTGGCACGGGGCGGCCAGCCATCGCCCACCGAGCCCATTGATTGGCCGGGAGGACTCAGGGGAGATGGGCCAGGAGACAGGAAGTCATAGAAGGGAGAGTCCTCCAGACGCAGCCCAGACGACATAGCACCTGTGGGACAAAGACACACAAACATGGGGACACAATGACACAGACTAACAGTCACTGATTTGATTATACTACTGCATGTAAGGACCGAACAAGCTAGTGTATACCATTGGTGCCATCAGTATTAGTAATTTTTATAAATAAAATAGCCATAAAATTCTAGCCAGCATATTTTCTTTGTAAGCGTGCAATTGTTTCAGTGTTTGCCCAATTACTGCTTCTTTCTTTGTGGCAGTTCCTACCCCAGAAGTACATGATCACCTCTCCTAGATAGACAACTGTACTGTGAGAAGGACAAAAACAGACTGTGTACCAGGTTTGCTGTTCTGCTCCAGAGGGTCAGTTGCCCAAAGTTTCTTCAGTTTGGACTGGGGCGGCTCTTTGTAGCTCACAGCTCCGCCACCACTACCACCACCAACACCCATGTCCAGGGATACATTCAGGTTAGAGTTCAAGCCTGGTGGGAGTGATGGAAGAAAGAGAAAAGAAATTAAGTCACTGTGGATTTAAATATGATTAAATTCAACAGAAATTGATTAATTAATGCATCATCATTAAGGCGTAGAGTGATAGTAGCTAACGTACTTAAAGGGAAGTTGTTGTAGGATCCGAGAGAAGCAGCATCCTTCTGCATCTCAGGGGTATTGTGGGACAAGTAGTTATCCAGGTACGGTTTGTGGGGTGGGGCCTGTTTCAGCAGGGAGGGGTCCAGGTGCCGTGGGGGCTGCATCATTGATGGTGACGAACCAATAGGACGTGTCTAAGGACAGGAAGTAGGAGGTTAGAGAAAACAATCAATGAAACAACGCCATAGAGACACCACTGTTTCATCAAATAAAAACTCATATGTGGTGTAATAACTTTTTAGAGACACACACCTGTTCAGTTGGTCGTCCCACAGGCATGACTCTCTGGCTCTGAGCCTTCTGCTGTTGCTGCTGTTGCTGCTGCTGCTGCTGCTGCTGGAGGAGAAGACGCTGCAGACACGATAAAAGAGATTTAAGACTATGTATCTGAGATTAAGTTTAGCAAACATTTACTTATGATACTTTATACTTCAAATACATTTGTAGGAAGTTTGTTACAGTTACAATATGCAAGCCAGTCAGAAATATACTGCAAGGTTTGCTGTGTTTAAGTGCAGTTAAAACAATGTTTTCTATTCCTGTATTAGAAATAACATTTAGCCCTTTGTAGCCCTGTAGATGTAGCAGGTAAATCGACTGTAATTATTGTGATATGTCCTTTGTGTTGAGGAAATGATTTTAAATCTTAACAAAAAGTCATTGACACTTCACTAGTTACAACAATTCCAGTGACTTTGATGTTAATCAGTGCATTTTGTGAACAGTTCATTGCAACATAGTACTGTACATAAATATAAAACCATGCATAAAATGTTATTTTCTTAATGCCTCTAATGTATGTGTGTTCAAGTTTTCATCACTCTACCTGTAACTGGTTGATCTGGCTGAGCTGTGACAGCTGGTTGAGCTGGGAGAGCTGGCTGAGCATGGCTACCTGCTGAGGGCCAAACAGAGGGTTCAGACCTCCGTTACCTCCTGGGTACTTCAACAGGGATGGAGGGACCTGAACACAAACAAGATGATGGTTACATTTTGGTCAATAAGATAAAAAAGGACAAAATGATCGATCATGTTTGGTAACCAGAGCTTTGCCAACAAGCCAGTTATTTAAAAATGACATGACGGTATTGTGTAACTAGTCTACGCTATGTATTATTTACCTAAAGTGAGTTTCAGGTGTCAATTGTGCAATTTGATTCTCCACTGAAAACAACGGCTGCTTGGAGGGTTGGGAAAAAACTAAAACATATACATCTAAAAAGGTACAGTCTGATTTGAATGATCTGAAAATAAGTGCCTCAAGACACTTGAGACATTCAGATCATTGTTGAGATGAGCAGACTTAAAACTTTGTAGCCTAAAATGTAAGTGCATATAACTGCAGTAGATGCAATGGTGTTTGAATGACATGAAGAAAATCAATGTGTGTGTGTGTGTGTGTGTGTGTGTGTGTGTGTGTGTGTGTGTGTGTGTGTGTGTTACCTGAGAGGGCAGGATGGGTGGAGGCACTTGGTTACGAAGGTTGGGTTGGGGGGGGGCCTGGGACTGGGGGCCGCCTCGGCCCTGTGCTACGCTGCTGCCACCCATCATGGGGTTTACATTCTGAGCAGGGAAGACACAAACACACACAAATGGTCAAACATGCAACAAACTGACTTTTACTTTTTTTTTTTAAATAATCCATACATGTAATTAGTTCATTGACCACAGGCTTTTAAGTAAACTCAACCGTCAGTTACAATCAAAAATGAAATGTTAGCTAAATTTGGGAAATTATATTTAAAAAAACATTTTGATGGGTAACCTGCTGAAATACCATTTGTGTAATATGTGTTTTTTTTTACCCTATTTTTCACATAAAGTGATAGTTTGGTTTAGTATTATTATTATTATTATAAGAACGCAAGACAACATCCTCTTCATCCTTCCACACTCACCTGCCGAGCGCCCCCAGGACTAGAGTGGGCCGGAGACGGCCCAGAGTTGAGACAGGGAATAGGCTGAGCAGAATTGGAAGGGGAAAAGCTCATGCTTTGATTGGAGGAGAGCTCATCAGAAGTTTGGCTATCGTAAGCAGAGGGGGAAACAGACAGCTGCAGAAGCAAGGCCAGGTGCACAGCAGATGGACGGCAAGCACAGAGGTACAGGAAGCACATCAGCAGCCAGAGAAGTGCAGAGAGGGGAGGAGAAAAGAAGTAAAAGAGTTAATTTTGCAAAAGGATAGAGGGAGAAGAAGGAGGAAAGAGCAAGTAATGTGAGGACAGGAAAAAATGAGCCAGAGTGAACAGTTTGGGAAAGCGTGAAAGAGTAAAAGGAGTAAAATGGGAGGAGTAGAAGAGAAGCAAGCAATGGAGAAGAGGAGAGTGCAGTAGAAAGAGAGAAGGTGGCACCAGAGGAGTCAGGAAGATAGAAACAAAGATAAGAGACAAGCAGCATTAAGTGCAGAAGGAAAAGCAGCAAAGCCAAACCAACTACGGTTGGATGATATGGTAAAATTTTCAAACCGGCCACTGTCGTGCCTTTGTGTGTGTGTTGTGCAAGCACCACACCAGTCGTTTCAGCCGGGAGATGAACACCCGACAAGCTCTAACAACTTTAATAAAAATTAAACTCACCAAATGTCAAGAAAGAAAAACCCCCCCACATATTTCCCTCCAACAGAAAATACAACCGTACACCTTTTAAATGAAAGTTTCTCTCTTATACCAAACTCAGAACTTGTTAAGCAATCTTTTAAACACACTTAATTCAAACTCAACAGAAACAAAATAAACTCTCTTTATTAGTCTGGTGTCGAACCATCTAACAGAGTTAGATGTGAAAATATTCTACATGTTGCCGCTGCCTCTCTGATGCCCCTGATCTCCCTCACTCCTCTACCTGCTTCATTCCTCTCCTGGCCTGAGCTGTGCCTGCTGTGTCCCCATCTTTCCTGAGTTACATTTCTAAGATTAGATGTGAAAAAACACTGGTTCTACAGCTGTTTTTCCTCTCACTTGTTCAGCGGCTCAGTGTGTGTACTGCGCTGCTGAAAGTCTGTCACCGGGCTGCTCTCATTCTTCAGAGGCAGAATATTAAATCATCAAAGTAAAATGGCAAAAATCGCCCAAAGAAAAAAACAAAACAAACAGCCGGTGATGGACTCAATCGCAGGTAGCCAATATTTGTGCAATCGCCCAACCCTAAAACAAACCCATTGCATCTTTGTACAAAACTATCTAAAAAGGAATTAATCATTACAGCACAATTACGAATAATTTGCAAACAATCAATTGTTTAATTGGATGAAAGTGAGCATATTTAATTTACTTTTGTTGCTCATTAGTGACACAGTCTGATTCATAATTATAAAGACACAACAACGGTCCAATCAGCAAGTATCAAATGAATCATCCCTTTTGGTAGTTCACACATCGAATGCAATGTGTTAGACCAACCACTGTGGGGCACTACAGGGCTGAGAGAGCACTACATAGCCAGACATTTGACACAGGCACACAAGATAGACTCTTATACTCCACACCTACCTCATGATCACCAAAAGGCGGAGAGATTAATCAAACCGGTCCAGTAATGTTGTTTGTAAACAATGTACTAAGTGCCAATGCAACCGACCTGCTGTATTTTGGTTGCCAAGTTGCCAAGAGGCGTTCCTGTGACCTTTACCCCCACCCATTGCATAGCAGGGAAACGTTGAGGCTTCTGCATACCTTGTCATAGTAAGGGCTGCGATCCATGGGAGACTCCTTGTGGAGCTGGTGTCGAGACCCAGGGTTCTTCCCCATTACTCCATTGAAGTCTCCCATACTGCCCATGTCCATACGCTTGTCCTGCACCATCCCTGCTCCTGTCTTCATGGAGTCGTCAGGAGAGTCTCTCTGCAAGGGGAAAGAAAGGAATGTGATTATACAGACAGAAAAACAAATATTGCATTCATTCAAATATTACTATACGAAAAAAATAACAGTAAAGAAAATGCAAAAAAATAAATAAATAAATAAAACTGGATACAACCCTAACACCAACTCTTCAAAATGGAGAGGTTCCTGGTGGGAACTACATGGCTGCCAAACAACGGTTTATATTTTTGAATTTTAATTTTAAAGTGAACAAGAACGACAGCAAAACAATGGGAAACAGTACTTACAGAGAAGTTCATGCTGTTGAACTGGTTGATGAAGGGTTTCATCCAGGGTTCATCCTGTTTGTTGACTGGTTTGTTCATCTGAAACAAAGCAGAAAAAGAAAATTGACAGGAGGCACTTAGCAGCGTTATCTTTCTCATTAATTTGCCTTTTAAGTGCGTCTGCAGAACATTTGTATTCTGTCCATAACACAAGTGGTTAAAAGAACTCCAAACTTCCAAACCTACAAAATATACAAAGCTATGGTAAACAAACAAACCTTGTTGGAGCCTTTATGCTTGTAGTTCCAGGTGTTTTGGTCATGAGACCGGTTGTCCTGTTGGCTGTTGCTCCACATGCCGATCTCCACCTCCTCTTCCTGGTCCCAGCTATTGCCCATGGAACCTTCCTCACCACACCATGTCTCCATGGGTTTGGGACCTGGAGCTACAAGGAGGACAGAGAAAGAAAGTGAGCATACAGTTCTATTGCTCATTTGCTACACTTCCTACAGGGAAATTCTCTCTCCTGCTACTCTGCACATTAAAGAGTTCAGGAATATTCATGGTCAAGTGTGCACCTACCAGATTTGTGCTGGCTGCCCCATCCAGACCCAGACTCTCTGCTGCTCCTGCTGCTGGGTTCATCCCAGGTGGAGCTGGTGTCCATGGGCTTCCCCCAGGCAGATGTCCCATTGTCCACCGTCACAGGTGGTGCAGTGGTAGGTTCCCCCCACGTTGAGGACTCCTTCTGCTGGGAGTAAGACTCGCCCCAACCTGAAGGAAGAGGGAGGTTTCACTTTAAGTCATGTTGTCTTAAACCAAATAGCTTTTTGCATTCAATTAATTTATTATTATTATTGTCATTTTAAGACAAAATAAATCTCAAGTCCTAAAATACACAGAATATAGCAGAAACCATTACTTTTTCAATTCTCTCATTTTTTCCTCAGTTGTAAATATGTGAAACATAATAATTCTGTGACCATAAAGACAATGCCATGTCACCACACATGATGTTAACAGTCACTTTTCCTTAAACGGTGAACACACAACATACTGCCAGCAGCAACAACAATACGACAATATTCCCATTCCCACTGACCTGTACTACAGTCCTCACACAAGGAAATTATTTTTATATTTGTCTGCTTTTATCCTGAAGGGCCAAGGGAGTTTAACTGTTGTAGAACACATCTATACTTGTTGTTTTTAGTATTTGTTTTTTCATCCTGGTAATACAGCTCTCACCAGTCACAGTAGTCATATCAGGCTTGTTTGGAGAGTGGGTGGTAACGTGGAAAATATGACATCATTGCCCCCAATTTAAATACATAGATGCAAACCATCTTTCTTGGGACCCTGGCCATATTTACAATGATGCACTGAGTTGACAATGTTTTCCTCTGCTGAAATCAGAACTCAGCTTGAGGAAAGAGCCATGACCATGTCCCCGGGGAACCCTGCATCAACCTGCTTATGCAAGTTTTGTTTACTTTAACTCTTGCAGGTGTGTAGATGTGTGCACGGGCCTTTACATGCTTTCCAATGTGAAACTATGTATGCTCAAGTGAGTGCAAGTATGAGTTCAAAAGGTTCCTGTTACAGCTGACCACCCAGACCTGCTACTTTCTCCCTCCACAGGAGGCATTTGGGTAGATGCCAAGGATACCTCTCCGTAAAAATAGGACAGATCATGGGGTGGCCTCAAGCTCCAGTGTCCCTCATGTGACTGGGTATGCTTGCATACAAGTACGTGAATACAACACAAAGACATGCACACAGAGCTCAACAGACATGCTGAGGTAGATGCATATACACAAATGGGCACATGCAGTACATGCATATAAGGACGATGACATATTTTAATATTATAACATGTTCAGTTACATATCTATAAACTCATCTATTATATTGACCTCAGTTTCACCATGCTGCTGTTTTAATCAATTTCTGCACTTTAGTGTTCACAAAAATAAAACCAAAATAACTCAAATGCATCAAAATCTACAACCTGATTATTCATCACAGTAGCTGGCTAGTTTGCCCCACCCTTCCTTGCCATCCACTTTGCTGCTCTAGTTAGCTCGCTAGACAGCAACCCTGAATAACCCTAATAGCCCCTCCTCTTCTTTTCCCCTTCTCAGCCCACTTCCACAGAATAGCCGCCTTACTCTTTTTAGTTTTCCCATCTTACATTGGAACCATTCCTATTACTAAGTCACCAAACCTCCTCCTCTACCACTCAGCCTCTTTTCTCTCAAACCCACAAAAGCCAGCGATTCTACAGCAAGCGGAATTGGCGAGTGAGAGAGAAAGGGAGGAGAAAAAAAGGCGAATGAGAGAAGAGAAAAATCGATGCTCTTAGAATTCCAAAGGGATGACTCAACCGGTTTTACAAAAAGCCCTCCTCAACATAGACAACACCATGGGGAGATGGGAGAGAATGGCTGTGCATGTTTGTTCTTTCTCTAGGCTTTTGTGCAAATTATGTATGCTTTTGAATACATTTGTGAATGTGTGTGCATCCACACTTTGTGTTTGTACTGTCTAAATCCTTTTAAGACCTTATTTCAGCTCTCTCAAAAAGAGAGTGTGGGTGGGACTTGCACCTTTTTATTCATTCTTAAGGCTTATAGACTGCACCAGAAGGCTTGCGCTTACATGCTGTTACCATTTTAGATACTGGCTCATGTCCTTGCATTTTTATATGTACCCAAATATTAAATAAGCACAAATACACACTAATCTGCAAGCTAATTCAACCCAGACTCAGTACAGATCATCATAGCTGTTCATTTGAGAATCTGCAGAATAAGAACTCAATTGACATACTGTCATTCTTACTTCCTGTAGAGGAAAGTATCCCTGCAGGCTAAACATGTAAATAATACAATCGGTTATAACCTGGCCTAATCTATAAAAGGCAGAAAGTGTGACTCATCAATGTTGGATCATCTTTTTTCACACGTACACACGAGAAGTGTGTGCACATGCACAATTTTATGTACTCCTGTCTATGTGTTTTCATAGTCAAAGCTGCATGAATGATTGCATTACTGGTGCAACTGGGGTGTTGTTTATTCATTGCTTATTTAGCCCATACATATAAGGAAGATATTTATGTATTTTAGCAAAAAAATATTATTAGTAAGAATAGCCATGAATTTGGCTTCATCTGGTCCCTGTCTACTCTGTCAAATATATGGATGAATCCCATACATATTTCAACTTACCAGAACTGCAGCTTTTGTCCTGGGCAATAGGTTGCATGGGCTGAGGAGGATGCTTGGAGCTATGTGGTGGGTGGGACTGGTGCTGAGAGGATGGGCCCATGGCCTCCTGGTCTGACTGGCTAGTCCTGTTCCACATGTTGGCAGCTCCACCGCTGTATTTACCTAGAAAGAAGATTTAAATCACATTAGAGTCATCAGCGGAAAATGAGAAAACTGGAATTCCCAATGATTTTATTCAGGCTTTGTACGGCTCTTGTAAATACTTTTGTTGTGGGCCGAGGGTTTACCCGGGTCTCCCCAAGCTGCTGTCCCATCATCAATTTCTCTCCTCCGTCGAATGGACTCTGGAGAAGGCTCTTCCCACCCAGTTGCCACTTCCTCCTTCTGACCTACTGTGGGAATAGGGCCTCCCAGCCAACCTGACAGAATTCATAAACAAGAAAAAGTGAGAAGTCCATTTTATGTCCTCCCACTTGACTTGCTATACAATGTCAACAGCTAGAATTCAGTTTTGGGGTGTACGGTCTTCCTTGTTAGACAGTGATTACTGATTACTACCTGTGGGCTTGTTAGGGCCTTGATTGTCTCTGGACGTGTTGGATTCAGGACCTTTTCCCCACTCGTTGGAGGGCTTGGGATTCGGCTCACCCCAGTTCTGGGCTCCATGGTTGTTCTTAACTGGCTCACCCCAGCCCTGGCTGTTACTCTGAGGATTGGGTTTGTGGACTGAGTCGCCCCAGTTGGAACCTGGGTTTGGAGTGTTCTGGTCTGGAGTATTTGATCCTCCACTCCCTACCCAGGTGTTGCTGCTGCTGGTGTTGGTTCGGCTTGGCTCGCTCCAACATCCAGAGCCAGATCGGTCGCTGTCACTGTCCCAACTCACTGAGCCTGCACCTTTTTGGGTCTCACCCCAGTGGTTGTTGGGCCCTTGTCTGGGACCATCTCCACCATTACCCCAGCCTTCACTTCCATTTCCACTATTGGAACCCCAACCCTGCTGTGGTTTGGGTGCATTAGTCCAGGTATTGGACCTAAACAAAAGCAATGAAGATGAAGATGATCATTAAACAATAATATGGAATGAAGACAATAATGGTTGCAAAAAGCAGGGAAATTATGCAAACATTATTTCTGCATCGGTGTAATCAGTACTTCTAATGCACAAATATAAATTACCGGTCGTCTTTGTTAACATTATTGCTCCAGGTGTTACTGGTGTTGTTGCTCCCCTTGTAGCTGGATCCATTGTCCCAGCCACTCTGCCCACCACCTCCGTTGGTTGGGACTTTGCTGTCCCACCCAGAGGTTGGGCGCTCTCCCCAGCCAGAACCTCCTGTACCTGGGCCTGAGCTGCCGGGCCCACCCCCCCAACCTGCAAGTAGAGTGAAAGGAAGAGATATTTTTTGTTTACTTTTGTGTTCTGCAATAGAAAATTTTCTTCTAAATTTGAATATTCTTGTTTATATGACTAAAAGGCATTTACAGACTAAGATTAAGATTCCATACATGTTTTACCCCTACCTCCAGAGGTCTGGGAGGGAGCTGCCGGTGTTGCTGTACCCCAGCCGGAGCCTCCGCTGCTATGCTTTCTTTCGTCACCTCTGGGACCCTGGTGCTGATTGTTAGTAGTAGAAGTGACATCCCACGCAGTGTTCTGGCGTATGGGCGTCTGTCCCCATCCAGTGTTGCAAAGAACCCTTGGGTCCACATCGCCCCTGGACACAGGTAGCACTACTGGTGCAGCATGGGGGGTACCTTTTCTGCGGTTTCCCCCTTTTGACTGGCTGCCGTCTCTGTCTGAGCTGGATCGGCCTCCGGAGCTCTCGCCGCTTCCTTCACTTCCTCCAGAGCGACTCCAGCCTCCAGTGACACTCCCCAATCCATGGCTTCCACCTCCTCCCCCTCCACCTCCCATGCCCATGGCGTCATCCTCCAGGCTCTTCCAGCCATTGTTGGCAGAGCTTCCTTTATGACTTCCAGCATCTGAATGGTTGTTAACAGGAGCTGTTGATCCCCATTCTCCATTTGACATCTTGTTGTTAGATGTGGAAGAGGATGATGAGGACGAGGAAGAGGATGACGCACTGCTCCCCCAGGGGCGAGGCATCCCTGCTGGAGGGCCAATCGTGGTTTGGTTGCCATTTCCTGGTGTTTGGCCTGCAGAGCCTGGGATTTGATTTGAACCGATACCCCAGGACAAGTTACTCTGGGTCTGGTTTGGGTTATTGGTGGGCCCCTGGTCCCAGCGTGGGGCCCCAGTGTTATTGTGGTTATTATTACTCTTGTAAGCAGCAGTAGAGGAGATTTGGGGGTTCCCAGCCTGCATTAAGGCAGGGTTTTGGGGGTTCACAGTGTCTGCATTTGGGTGGCCCTTGTCTCCAGGGTAGGTAGTTGCGCCCCAAGGCGTACCGAAGGCTCCAGGACCCCCCGGCTCTCCTTGGGGGTGCTGGGTGGCTGATGAGGGGTTTCCATTGGCCAGCGGACCCCCATTCCCTCCTCCAATAGAGCCCCAGGAATCCCCGCTGAGCTGGGGTGAGGCGGTAGAGTTTGGTGGACTAGAGGTCATTGTGGCATTAGTAGTAGTAGTAGTAGTATTCATCATAATAGTGTTATTTGGTCCATTGGATTCAGTGTTAAGGTTGGTAGGCTGTAGGCCACCATTTCCACTGTTGCTGCTTCCTAACACCTTGCTGCTTGCTGTACCATTATTCACCTCAGTGTCTTCCATCATACTGCTGTTGTTTGGAGCTGCCATGCTACCCCAGCCCAGCATGGGGGCCTGTTGGGGAGCTAGACCCAGTTTGGAACTCATCCCTGGAGCCTGGGGAGGCCGTTGGCCCTGGGACACTGGGCTTGGGGTTGGATTCTGGGGCCAGGCACCGTGGTTGGCATTTGGGTTTAAAGTGTTTGGGTTTAACCCTCCATTGATGCAAGGGGTGCTTCCGCCAGTGGTGATCATGTTGCTGCCTGACTGGGTGCCCCATACACTACTATTATTGATGGGCTTGTTGTTGTGGTTACCCATGTTATTGCTGCCAATACTGCTGGACCCAGCCACGGAGTAGTGGGAGGGCCCGGTGATGTTATTATTTCCATTACTTGCACCGCCGATGGTTCCCATCCCTCCACCATTTACCTGACGACTGTTGCCATTGCTGTCCCCATTCACTGAAATGCCGACCATCATGGCAGAAGTCACCATAGAGGAGGAGGGGGAAGAAGCCGTAGAAGACACAGAGGAAGAAGCATTTGCTGACATCATCATCACTGTTGTCACAGGAGCAAGGTTTTTCTCTGAGCCGATCGAGGAGCTAGAGTCTGCGTCCATGCATTCTGACGCCAACTCAGGGTCTGATCCTGATCCACAGCCAGAAGAGGAAGAAGACGAAGAGCAAGAGAATGAAGAGGAGGAGGGAGGCCAGACAGAGTTAGTTGAAGAAGGGTTGTTGGGTTTGTCGGTGCTTCCGTCCACTAGGACTTTGCCCCAGTTGCTGTTGCTGTCACTGCTGCAGGGAGAGCCAGAGGACCAGGGGGAAGGCTCATACTGAGAGTCCAAGCCAGAATGCTCCAGACCTGGAGAGAGAAGGGTGGACATGGTAGAGAATCCCGTCAGATTGGACATTCACATTTTAGAAAAAAGGAATCAATTTCCACAAGCATTTAGCAGAGGTGCTGTTTCATCATCTTCAAAAAAATGAACGACAGATTTATGTATGTTTATGTATGCATGTTAAATAAAACAGATTATTAAATTCCCCTCAAACACAGTCGCTTTGATATTCTACGATTCTCTCCAACCTTCAGCTGCCGGCTGTTCTGGATGTGATCAGCGCCAGGCCTGAGCCTGGACACAGCTGCCACCATTTTGTCACCACAGCAGGACCCATAAGCATGCCAAAGCTATAAACTAGGATTCTGGGAGCCGGTGGACGACTGTCAGCGGGGGAGGAGAGATGGAGGGCATTGGGGAGATGGTAATTGAGTGTGAAAAGAGGGAGGGACAATAGAGGGTGTGAGGGGAGGAAGTGGCAAAGGAGAAGAGGTGGTGGCAACTGAAAAGATTCAGACTTGGTTTAAACCTTGCTAACCCTTCCAAATAAATAAAAACTGTCTGAGATCATCTGCATTCAGACCTGGCATGTCTCTAAAATTAGACTCCAGAGGCCACTTGTGATCAGATTTTGCTTTCATGGCCATTATGCACACACTGATTCAGTTGCAATGGCAAGTGCCTCAATTTTCAATGCTACAGCAGCCCTACAGCACAAATACCATATTTATCAGCATTTGCCAGCAGACTTTGTCACTTAAACAGCATTTTGTGTGGGAGTCTTTATTCATTTGCTTTGATAAGCAAATATTAATGCATTGAGATACATACTGACAATAAAGGGGTTTTAATGTGAAGGTAGTGTGGCTGTGAAGTAGGCCTTCATTGTGAAATAAACTCTAAAGAAAGGTGTTGACAACAAGATTAGCCAACATTACCAAAAGTTGATCTGAAGTTAATCCTATTTAGAGGCATTTTTCAGTTTTTTTGACACAAAGTTGGTCTTGGTCTTGGTTTTAATACACCCAAAGGACTAAACAGATTTTCAGAAAAAGTAAAATAAAACAGCAAGAACTGACTTTCAATGAAGAACTTAAGTTATGAACAATGATTTTTAGCAACGGAAGAAAAAAAAAAACACATTCCACAGGAGCTTTGCAGTTGAGTAATTAGCTTTTAGTTTGTGAGCAAATACATGGAGTCCCGAAGTTAAATGATTTCCCTTACACCCCCCCTCACCCATAAATTAAGATACAGAGGGCAGCCTGCCCACAGCATTGGCTCTGAGGCAGCTCAGTATTGTTTTATAATTTGAATACCATCTTTTCTTTGACAAGTTGCACTTAGTTGTCATAATCTTTCAATCATGAAAACATCTACTGCTTATTTATTTTCTTTTTCTGGTTTCTTCACCAGCTATCTACAAACACCAACTATGAGTCTCTTGACTGATTGGTTGGCCATCTCTGGGTCATTCTCACCCAAAGTGTCTCACTTTCAAAGCCTCTCTTTCACATAAACTGTTCGCCAGCTCTCTGTGGGGCTTATCGTGTTCGCTTGCCAAGTCTCCTCTTGTACCCTCTCACACCCACTCATCCATCTCTCTCTCTCTCTCTCTCTCTCTCTCTCTCTCTCTGATTTTCCATGAATAAAATGCATCACCTGTCAAGGCCAGGTCAGACTGAGTCTACCTAGTCTGTCAATCACAAAGCAGAAAGCCAAAGTAAGACAATGTGAGGAAGAATGAAATGCAGAAGAACGGGGAAGGAAAAAGGCAATGTGTAGTCACCTGTTTGATTAGGGGAGTGGCTGACGGAATCCCGAATGGGAGCCATGCCTGGAAACAGAGAGAGGAAAGACTGTCAAACAGACTCAGAGGGAGTTAGAGATAGAGCCAGAAAACAAACAGTGGGGATATGCTAGAAACAGTTAGAACAGATAGGACATTCAATGAGAATCAAGGAAATGGAAAAGAAAACAAGAATGTTAAAGTCAGAGTGGTTCAAAGTAAGAAGTGCTTGCAAGTAGAAGAGTATTAGTGGACAGACCCTGCTAGTTGCTGAGCTTGAGTTGGTAGTTATAATTGGTTATCCAGATTATAATGTATAAAATAAGTAATAAGTTATGTGTGTGTAATTCTTAGTGATTGGTCTGAGCTGAATTTATTCTTATTCTAAACTTGTTCCCCTTTTAAAGAGTGTTTCTGAATACAATATGACTACACACTAACAAATTCATGATATTTTGCCTAATATCACAGTTGTGACATAAATTTACAGCAAACCAGCAAATGTGTACATATCTAAAAAAACAAGACAACCTCAAGAAACTTAAAAAGTTCATGTCATGTCAAAATAAGCATTGTTTTTAAATGTGCAATATTCACTTATTACAAGTGAATCATGTTTAGGATGCCATTTAGAGCATCCTCCACAAATGTATTGCAGTCTAATGCAAACTGGGAACTGGTTACTTTTTTCCAAAATATTTTCTATTTGGGAAACTCATCAGAAGCCATGAGCAAGAACACACCCACATTTTAATTTCTTTTGTCATTTAAATGTAATTGTACAATTGTTTTCCTGCTTATCCAAGAATGTGATTACTAGCAGCAGACAGTGACAGTTGGTGTAGGCTAGTGATACAGACAGATATCTAATTGAATGTAATCCACTGCTCTCTCTTTTATAGTTTACCTGTGAGTGGGGCTTGTGGATGCGGCTCCTGGATGGGCAGGAGGGCGTCCCCGGGTTGAGTGGAGAACAGGTGACCTCTGGTTCCCAGGTCGACAAAGCGGAGGTCAAAAGGTCAAAGCTCAGAGGACACAGCCTCAAGGGTCTGAGGTGAAGAAGCAGGGCTTGTCAGAGCGGGCAGCAGGCTGATCAGGCCCCCTTGGCATTGCTGAGGACTGTATGCGTGAGCGTTTGTGTGTGTGTACAGGTGTATGTGTGGGGAGGGGGAAGGGGGGGGATGTGGTTTAGATTTAGGACTCTGCCTTCACTTGGTATGCTCTGGCACTGTAGAGAAAGACGGAGACAAAAGAGGAGAGAAAGATGGTTAGTTAAACATATCGCCCATTATCAATAACTTAAACCACTTAATCACAATATACATCACCAATCCTCATATAGCCTACACAAAAACAAGTTGTAATTCGTAGCACCACTGCAACCGTAGATGAATGCATCATGCATGATCAAACCATCGCACAGTCATTTATAATAAGGTTTGACTTGCCCAGATACTGAAAATGGGCCTACTGTTGTGCACTTAATAGCCAAAGAAATTGCAGTTACATTTTTTTTTATTCAATCGCCACTAGGAGGTTTGAAGTGGGATTGTGTCTAGTATTACTGAAAATGAGAAAATTTGATTCCTTGATGTTGTCTACACTGTGAACAATCTCTACCAGCCTCACCTTACACAAACAGCCAGAGCTTATCACTGTTCTTATGGTCTCAACATCAATCTTTCTAAGCCTTGATGCACAATTAAATTTTTAGAGGAGGTGCACAGTATAGCTATGGATGCCAATTAAATGATGTTGTGGAAATTAATTAGGAGACATTTTGACACAGTGAACCAGGCCTTATCCTTTCCCTCTGTTCACTTTCTACAGTTGGAGACTAATTACTCCCATCTCTCCTCACCCCACACTGGAGGTAGAGGCAAGTATGTGAGTTAGCTAGGTTAGTCAGAAAAGTAGCATAAAGAAAGAGTGTGAGGTAGACTGACCACCACACACACACACCTTCTCTTCCTGAGGGGGATGAATGTGTTTGGGTTAGACTAGATTAGGGTTATGCAACAGGCTTAAATCTGTCAACAGTGCCCTAGGACACCATGGAAAGCAAAACCTCTTATCCAAGAGCAGAGAAAGAAGTAGTAAGGGGACGAAGACAGCAAGAGACAGTGAGAGAGGGAGGTAAAAACAATAGGAGGAGGAGGACAAAGGCACAAATCAACAGAGACGAGCAGGACACAGACATCCTTCAGTAAAAGTGGACCAGTGTATTTGACAGCAAGAAATAAAGTGCGTGTGCGTATCTCCTGACCTTTTCTTAGCAAGTGTGTTAGCTCTCTCTGCCTGCTGCAGCAGTACACAGGTCTATTTATAAACCTTCAGTTCAAATAGCAACCACTCTGTTTGCTAGCCAATATGATAAGAGAACAAACAAACCCATGTGTGGATAATATATAACTGTGCAGATGCAATGAAGCATGTATGTGTTGCACATTTGGAGCATGTTTTTACAAACTTTATGAATTTTGATATTCAATGTGGAGTGGCATTTGTTCGTAGTAAGAATAAATTTGTTACAGCAAGACAAAATGATTAACTACTGCAGCTCATAACAGGGGAAAAGTTTCTTTCCGGCACACAAACCAGCAACCAATCCTATGAAACCCTACAAACTGTCCAGACGCGCTTAACTGCAGCCAAACTCCACTTCTGTTAACTCACAGCTCACTAGCTAAACCTGGGCACACTGCCAGCATCTAAACATAAAGCCTGCCAGAAACTGCTAAGCTGCCCTCTGGAACCAATCAAAAAACAGACAGCACAATGATATTATTACAAGATACTTTCTCAATAAAAGTGGCACAAAAGTATTTTTAAAGAAGAAGCACTACTATCCAAGAAAAACAAGAATCAGAGCAGAAAGGTAGAGCGTTGCCTGTGGAACTGACCATCTCATTCTGGCAGCCGCGGTACCAGAAAGGCAAGCCCATCCAGCAATTGGGAGTTGTTTACTTCCATGGATCTTGACTCAACCTTCCTACATGGAAAGACCTCTGTCAACCCTAAAGCATCTGATTCAAAACAGCTATGTAGGGAAAACCCATACCCTTTTAAGGTGGTGCAAATCAAAGTAATGTTGAAAGATATTTAACACTTTACATTATTGGTTGGTGGTGAACATTTACAGGGAAAAATAATGATTTTTATGACAAGTATTGCAATTTAATATGAAATAATTTTCCATAAATTAAACGTCTGTATTGGTCGTCTACATAATATTGTGTATGTGTCTACAAGAGCTTAACTGATTAGTCAATTAATTGATTAGGTTTTGCTTCTTTTCTTTGTGTTATGTAATAGTAAACTCAGTACCTTTAGGTTTTGGATTGTTTTCAATTTTTTTAATTCTCAAAAGTATCAGGGTTTATTGATCTGTTTAGCTAGCGATTACAATATACACTGCGATATTTAATGAATGGAAACTTAAACATCGCTCTGTGTATAAGCATGTTCTTTGCTGCTGCTCAGTACATAGAGTACAGTTTGTTCCTCTTTCTCCCTGCTTCCATCTGAGAATGGCTTTCATGAGGGCCCCTGGAGTTGGCAGCAGCTTGACTGCTGCTATCATCTTACCGACAGACAGAGCGAGTTGGGGGGGAGGGGGAGGGGGCGGGGGCAGGCAAGAGGGAATATAGGGACAAGACACAACCAGAGAGTGGCTGAGCAGGAGAGCAAAAGAGAAATATGATGAACACAATAGGGGAAAACAGATGATACCAAGGTAAGGGAGAAGGGAGGAGGGAGGAGGGAAGTGGAATGTGAAAAAGGAGGGACATAGGCAGAGGCAAACGAGCCTGTCATTTAAGTTGATGTGAGAGGAATGCAGCTGCAGCTTCTGACATGCATAAAAGCAAAGAGGTCAACTTCCTGAAGTCAGCAGCACATAAACACAATACGATCTGTACTCCCTTTGCTGCTGAAACCTAAAATAGTGGAAAAGGATCAATAGAATTAACCAATAAAGTGTTTTGGCCCCGTTTTCTACCCGTTACATAAACTAACCTGAAAAGTAGGACTACAACAGAGGTGGATTTAAACCAAGGTACAGCTGAACAGACGTGAAAGGCTATTTGTGTGCGCCTGTTTGGTCATAAAAGACACAACCTGCTATGAATACGTGTACATTTGTATGGACAATACAAGCTATTTGTTAGTCCTGAGTATTTGCCGTATCTTTTTTTTTACCACTTAATAGAGGGTGGGCTGATACTGTTTTTAGACGTCTTGTTTAAAAGTTCAGAAAGTAATCCCAAACCATTACTGGAGGCCCCCTACAAATGGACATAATGCATTTTACAAGCTGTGCACTGTTTGACTTGACTGCTTAAACAATATATGCAGTGACTGTCAACTGAACATTGCTTTTAGCTAAAGACACTTCATGTGTCCTGCTGTTGCTATGCAACTGCAAAATCTATTTGAAGCATAGTGCTTTATTGCCAAAAGCTGACATATTCTTTAACATCATTTGCATGCCAGTAAAACAAATCCGACCCTCAGCAACAAACCTCTACGTTGAGTATGAAAAAAATGGTTGCACTTAAGAGTGGGCGGTATAACCGGTATAAAAAGCATGGATACGCAACATGATATGGATCTGGCTATATAGTGTCCTGGTATAAAATAGAGACTCACTGCCCTTCCATTTTATGTTAAACACACACTTGCATTGTAAGAAAATGTGGCAGACGAAATAAGAGATCAAGTAAAGCATATCTGACAAAACATATGTTCCTCATTCCTGGACTTGCATGGCTGCCTCTTTATACTGTATACAGTAAATACTATACATTACATATACAGTGTAATATTATAGATTTATAGTAAATTGCTTAATTGATCATTTTGAAACTGAGTTTAATGTAATCCTTGTTGGGGCAACCCATTCCAAATATGTGCTCACCTTCTTTAACCACTAAACGAAATCTTGTTAGGAAGACCCTGTTGTCATGGAAACATTCCTAAACACTCCCGACTCCTCTGGGCTTGTCTCAGCAAGATGATATTAGTGCAAGAAGCACATGCCAGTGTCTCTCTCTTTCAAATGTGCAAAAACCCCGTATTAATGGTCTTTCCTGCTTCAAGTGCTTGATGTTTCTGGTGAGCTCAACAAAAAGGCTTGAAGTGCACGAGGAAGTGTTAAGAAATTTACTTGAGTGCAGGTGTTGCTGTGCTGTACATGTCCGCATTCCTTTCAGAACCGTATGCTATATATGATATTGTATGTGCAGTAGAAGTGTGTGGGGGAGCAGATAAGCGCATTCGTCACAAGGTCCACCGCCGTCAAGTCAACTTTGGGAGGGGTTTGGAGGGGCACCCACACACACTGAACTGAAAACAGGGGCAATGTGCGCAGAAGAACAAGCTTCAGGTTTTGCTCATGACTCATTAGCTGGTTTGTCCATTATTCAGTCATCCATTCGCTTTTACAGTCATCTGTCCACCCACACCCAGAGTGGTAGTGGTTGTCACCAGGTATGCTCAGGAACTTTATCTACTATACAGATAGTTTAACCCTTTAAGCACCAAAGTCGCAAAATTGCGACAGGACGCTGAATCAAACAGCTGTTTTCTCCCAATAGAGCGTTATATCTCGTTCATACTCCCCTCAACTAGTTGGCAGACATCCCGTACTTAGACCTTAGCTCAGAAATACGTCATGCTTCAATGCAAAATGTTCGAGGAAGTCTCATCCAAACTGTTGGGTGAGAAACCCGAAATAGTGTGCCACGGCACTATTTATGCTGAAACAGTATTGCTGGATTTAGGAGTTATTGAGACGAAATAAACAATGATCAACAAAAAGTTGACGCGGCAGTGGCGCAGCCATGCGACGCAGCAGTGTGCCTGTCCATTTGTTAGGCTATGTGGTGGGGTCTCAATATTGTTCATATCATCTCTGTACTGTGCCTTGCAATGAGAGGTTCCACACTCTACAAATACTACAAACTTTTATCTGGATAGATGAGCACAGATGAGGACTCTGCAGCTAAAAGACGCCTACTGTTGTTATTATTATTATTATTATTATTATTATTATTATTATTATTATTATTATTATTATTATTATTATTATTATTATCATCATCATCATCATCATCTAACAATAATAATAATAATAATGAAGAAGAAGAGAATAAAAAGAAAAGAAAAAGAGTCCTGGGTAAAAAAAAAGAGAGTGGGTAAAATTTTTTTTTTTTTTTAAATCATTTTACGACTGTTGGCTTACAATTTACTTTTTCCCTGTTCATTTGATATGTGGACAACATAAATGGATGGAGGGGGGTGAATCTGACGAAATAAGTTCAACTCTTTCAAAATATCAGGTATTTCACGGAAATTACATAATCCAATATTGCCGCCGCCATATGACGTCATAATATGCAAATTAGATGGGAAAATGTACTCCCTAGATAAACTTTAGGTCATTCTCAATATTTGTCTCATTCACACTTTGTCTATTTCAAACCACTTTCAAGCCAGAGCCTTCTGAAATTTAGATGTCAAAATCTAGTATTTTTAAAAATAAAACCTGGCGCCTAAAGGGTTAAAATTAGTCTAACGGAGTGTTGGTCTGAGTGAAGCAGTGAGTTTCTCTTCTGGGAGTTGAGCATGCTTTGTTTTATACTGTGAATTAGCTCATCAGTATGTGTTTACATGTTTTTAATCACTGATTATACGCAACACAATTAAGCTGCTTAGGAGTATAAATCATGAGATACACTCAAACCACTGAGTACTTATGCACATTTTACCATAGTCCTAATAAGACTACCACCAACGATTGTTTTCAATTCTAATTCATCTGCTGATTATCTTCTTGATTAGTAAATTATACGTGTCTGAAAAGAGTGGAAAATGCTCATCAGAAGTTGTCAGAATCCAAGGTGATTCTTCAAAATGCTTGTTATATCAAACATTCAAAACCCCAAAGATATTCAGTTTGCTAAGATATAAGAGAAATACACGTTTCAGAGCCACGTTTTTGGCATTTTGATTAAAAATGTATTCAAAATAATCAATTATTACAGGTTAATTATTGGTGCAGCTCTCGTAGTTTTGAAAACAAACTTATGTCTGCTGGATTCAAGGCCAAAAGATAATAAAATTGATGCATGCTAAAGAGCTGCTGACAACTGAAGACAAAACAGCCTATAGACTCTAGCTATAGTAAGACACTGTCAAGTATAGACACTGACTCTTTCAGAGGAACAATGATTACACTCTTGTTATTGTATAACCATTATCTGGGGAGGGAAGAGCTTCCATGACGATTAATAGCTGTGCCAGTTCACAGTTTGGTACTACAGAGAGTTCAACTCTGAACTACATGCCTGTTTTCACTGGAACACATCACCAAATCTTACAATATAGAAAGAGGAAAAGACTAGAGACATAGCAGAACGGTGTTGGAGAGGAGTGAAAACAAGAGCGAGAGACAGAGAGAGCAACTGAAACATAAAGACACAGTCAAGGTCACAGATAGACGCTATCAGACTTCCTGCCTACAACTAGCCATGACAGTAGTTTCAGCTGTAACAGTAGTACGCTCGTACAAACAGGACTCAATGGAAACTGTAACTGCAATTCAAATGGAAAACGCTACTACGTCACATGGCAAAGTACACCAGAGCTGTCATAAGAGCAAAGCACACTGCACAACAGGGACAAACAAACAGTGATAGCACAGAGACCGAGCAAGGAGCAAAACATTTTGGAAAAATAAACATTTCTAATATATTAAAACTTATGAAGGCTTCATAGCTGAAATTAATGACTTCAATTAAACAAATTGTAAATAAAATTACCAAAATGAGCCACTGCAGTTCTTGTTTGAACCTTCAGCTCCTGACAATACGGAAGCAATGACATCTTCTCTCACCTTTTGACCAGACCTGTATCTTCTTATCCTCCTTCCTCGTCACACTCTCCGTCTCTCTCTCTCTTCCATCCACTGTTCTTCCCTCTGTGGGTATGTTCCCTGCAGAAAACAGGAGAATACTATTACTTTACTGTTTTATGTGGCACAATAACAACACTGTGTGTTGCATACGCAGCTTCACCGACTAGTGTTTGGGTAGAAGCTAGTAGTAATCCAAACAAAGGATAAGAGTAACACACAACTGAAAAATCATAGCACTGAGCAAGTGATATCATTCATGTTGTACGAACAAATCCACAAACCGTCACTAGTTAGGCATCTTCCTGTAAACTCCATAATGTACTTATAAGGACAATACAAACTTGTGTTTTTGTAACTGATGTTCATTAGTAGGAGATGATTTTAATCACAGAAACATGTACTGTTCCAAAAAAAGTGGAATCCATTTTAGAAAGCAATCATTTAAGTAATTTATAAAATGGTGAAAACTTCAAATTGCCAGGTTCTCTAATGTGAGAATTTTCTTGTTTTCTCTGCTGGTCGGAGAAAACAACTACAAGATGTCAGCTTTGACTATGGGAATGTTTACACTTTTTTTAAAGACCAAAACAATTGATTAAATAAAAAAATTATATATATAAAAAACTAACCTGTAATGAAAGTAACTGGTTGCAGCCCTTATATAATCCGTTTCTTTGGTGCTATGCTTTGGTCACGCTACGATTTTTCACATTACTCGTTGCTTATACTGAATACTATACTGATACTAACAGTGTTACACCAGTTTATATTGCCTGATGACAACATGCAAACATTTTAACAATTTTTTGCTGATTAGAACATCACTCTTTTTGGTTCTCGAACACAAATAAGGTCTTCCTGTTATTGTCCTTTTGGTTTGTAATGAGACTGTGGCTTCTCCCTCTGAGTGTTAGGGTTAATGGTGCTATCCATTTGTCTCGTAAATCCCCCGCACGAGTTGCTCTGCCGCGAGAACGTGACGTAATTGCCTGGCTTGTACCACTTATAGCATTCCATTGGTCTTTGGGCATTACGAGTCAGAAAGAACATGGACGCCACCGGTGCAGCAGCTGTGTTGTTATTGTTTGTGGCTCATCTAAACAAGCTCAATGTGAAATAATGTTTTTCTACAGAAACACTAACATTTCAAGTAATTCCGTTATTGCAAGTCTTAAATTTCAATAATATTTTGCCATTTTCGCCTATTTCAAGTGCTGTGGCGTTTCTCTCGAGCCACCAGGGGCAGTGGCAGGCTAGTGTTATTGTTAGCTACATTAGTCTATTTAGCAAACCAGCTCGAAAACAAAACTTTACTTGTATTGCAAGCACAGCAACACCCTGCAATGCATAAATTGGTGACCGGACTAAAGCAGCACCGAAACAAGTGTGTAGGAGCATTGAAAATCGACATTAAAACGACCAACGTAGTACAAATACAAAGAAAATACATCTTAATATGGGCGCTGCCATCTTTGTTCTGCGGGTCGTACGTGCCCCCCCGTTTAGCTCGGTGTACTATGAGGTACCCCAAAGCTGGACGGCTTAAATGTCGCGAGAGAGCTGCGAGATTTACACTTTCCAACTCGGACTTGGGGTTTACGAGACAAATGGATAGCACCATTAGTTCAACTGCACTGGACCCAGTGGGTGTGCCATTTAGCCCGCAGGAGAAAGCTGCAGGCTGCAGTCTAATCCGATAATGGGATTACAGAACAGCACTTACCTTAGCTATAAACAGACAGGCACACAGAGATGCTGAAACAACTCAGACCGGCACCGTGGCTATAACATTAAATGTGTAATCATTCGTCAAATTCTGTTTGATAATTGCACAGTGGCGAACAGAAATGTTGTTCCTCTAATTGTAACAAGATGCCGATAAAAGATTCATCAATAAAATGTTTAGTATGTTGGTAACAAAGGATGCAACACCAATAATTTTCCATAACCAAGACTTCACAAAATATATTTTCCATTGTATTTAACAGCTGTGCTTAATTATTGTGAAACAGGAAGAGCCATCCCTTTTAGAACGCATCGACTCATTAACGTTAAATCGAAGGGATTTATCATGAAACCAGGGGGAAACCGTTGATCAATGTACATTGTCCCAGTAACAACCCACAGATCTTATGAACAGCACTGAGCTGTACATTTATAGGACATCTTTATGAGAGAAAAACTCCTTGAGCATCTTTATAAACAGGCTGGAAGTTAGTGTTTCAGTAGATATATTAGAGTGTGCTGACTCTGAGAGGCTGAAGTCTGAAGCTGTCCGTAGAATAGCAGTGACAGCAATCTGACAAATAGCTTAGTGCCGTGCATAGCTGTTTGACACCATCATCAAAAGTCACCGGAGTAAGAAATGTTCAGGTGCTTCACAGGGGGGCTTAAATGCCCCTGAACTATTCATGTTTAAATGACAGATGAGATCAGCGGTTTGCCAGAATCTGTTATAATAAAACTGTAAATGCACACTTTAATCCTTTTTTTGCTACCACCTTTAGTCACAACCTCCCTCTGTTCCCACACTCTCTCCCCCCCCCCTTCCTCAACTCCTTCCCAACCATCAAGTGCTTCAGCAGATGGTTCTGGGTTCAACAACAACAACAGCAGAGCATGGTGGGGCCCTCCTGGAGTGCACACATACACACCATGGACAGCATCTGTTTATGAATGGGCCGACAATTGCCCATCCCCCGACAGCTACAGCTGACAGAGGGGAGGGGGCACCGCGAGTCACTAAAAGCAAAAGGAAAGGATAAAGAACAAGGCAGTCACAACAGGGGTGTAAGAAGACAACAACAAAGTTGCTGTTGCAAATATGTTTTATTGTTTGTTTTTTTCCTTTTCTAGTGCCAGATGGAAAACCCAAACGCAATCCAAGACCCTAACCTGCATTAAAAACTATTAAAGCAGAACTGTATGAGTTTTTTTTTTTTTAAATAATTATGTATTTTTTATGTAAAAAAAATTAAAAATACAATACTATGAAACCATTTTATCACCTGCCATTGTTCTAGTTTTAATTTTAGTGCAGCAAATAACCAAATCTTCATTACAGATTAATCTGTTGATCAATTAATCATTTAGTCAATACAAAAACCAAAATCCTTACATTTGAGAGATAAATGTTTGACATTTCAAGGATTATTTGATTACTGTGACAGCTGGCAATTAACTTCCAGTAAACAAATCGATTAATAGTTCACATAGGAAGTAGAGTAACTTGTGGAGCACACTTATGCCAACTATACTGGTGAGAAAATAACTGCAGACTTTCCAGAGTTGCATATCCTGTCTCATGGTATTATAAAGCACTGTGATCAGGCAAACTGAATTTGGTGGATCGTATAAATTTTTTTTACTGGTGCCTGAAGCAACCCTCACACCAAAGCATTTTCTGGATGGATGACCTAGTGGGTACTCACCTTAATCACCTTTAAAGGTCATGGCAGTAGGTTGGGTATGTGTCTGTGTGCGTCAGAGTTCAGGAGGGTAGAAAAACTATAACCCATCACAGGTGTGCTGTCCCTGCAGTGGCAGCTCACTCAAATAATAACTTTAACTAAAAGCAATTACCTTGGTATCATTTATTTCAGTACCTGAGTAATTATGAATTACATCAGCAAGACGCCCTCTCTTATCCAGGCCACCTGAGAGATACAAGCACATGTGCTGATCACATGTTTTCTGTTATTGTTCTTTATTGAGATTGTTAATGTACAACCATGATAAAATCAGGCCAGCCATGTAACTCTCCTTCCCTCTTGCCTGATTGAGAACAGGTACTTATGAAAAACACTATCTAGACTATACACTATTCTGACCGCTATAATGTTCTGTTGTGAATAAAATTGAAGTTGTGAATTGATATTCAGATAATGGATTTCTGTCTGTGTTGCCAAGAAGGGATTCACCTAATCCATCCAGTCAATGTGAAATAATGCATCAACACCAGGTAAATTAGAAACATGAAACATGTAGCTCACAAACAAGCAAGTGAGTTTTTCCATGATCAATTAATCACTTTATCAAAAATAAAATAAATAAAACAAACATTTTCTGGTATCAGCCTAATTAAATGTGAGCAATTTGTTTCTCTCTTTTATATCCCAGCGAATTAAAGATGTTGGTAGATCAAAAGGAACAATTTGAATATCTAACTTTGCAGAATGTGATTTTGCATCTTTTTAAAAAGTTTTACAAATTTTATAGACAAACCTATTAATAGAGAAAATAGTCAAGCATATTAATCAATGATTAATCAAATCGTTAGTTGCTGCTCTAGACTGGATTGGACTTTGCCATAGACAAAATGTAATGTTATATGATCGACAAAATACGCTTTAAACTACTTTTATTGCATTGCCTTATTTTACAACATCCTCTCAAGAGAAAAGGGCAGCCATTTTCACTGCAACATACAAATCACCAGACTGACAAATAGGAATCGCTTTCTAAAAATATCTAATCTCTAAATATGGTCTTTGTTGTGTTTCAAGAGGATAAAATAACAATCTGGACAGCTGATTCAACTATCAAGCGCATACTTTGTGGTTTTTCCATCTCCCAGACAGAGTGATGGCTGAGAGGGATAAAGAGCAGACTGATGAAAGATGAGGAAAATAGTTGTAAAAAGGTCACTGGTGATTTTATGTACAACTCTGTAGCACAAATAGATTAGAGGCCAATGAGTACCGTAAATGTGCCTTTTATTTGCCTGCACAGAGGTGTACATGATAACAGTTTATCAACACTTTGGGTCGTCTATATGTCCTGGTAAACAAAGTGAATTTCTCTGAACTCGTTTCCCTCATCCTCTATTAACTTTAGGAGTATGTGCTACATTCTTTCTAAAGCTACTTCCACGCCACCCTTTAAAAGATCCACAATGTAGCATAGATTTTGCTGCCACCCACTTGGCTTTTCTTTGAACCCGTTTCTGCCTGCTGTCAAATAAAGCTGTAAGACTTAAAAATAATCAAACTATATTTGGGTTTCTGAGGAGGAAGAGATCAAAAATCTGAAGCTTTAGACTTTTGCATCCTAAGACCCTGTAGGAGTGTTTTTCATTCCCAGAGGTGAGTCATGCAGTCAATCCAGCGAGGACTTTCAAATTGATAGGAGACGGAGTATTGATCGCATTTCTAGCCTTGTGGAAGTAGAGGTTTACAGACAAACACCCCAGACATACACCCAAACATGAACGGATAGACATGAGCGTCCACAAACATAGACTTACGCTTAATTTGTCCCCATAGAACAAAAGCCAGAGGGTAGTCGCGTGGCTAATTTGCATGTACAACACTACATCATTTGCATTAACATGTTCTCACAGAGGCTCCATTCAGGAAAGCCATCACTTAATTAGTGAACAACAACGAGTATCTCCTCATAACGAACAGCCCAAGAGCGAAGGCTTTGTGAGGCCGCCGTTGCAAGATGTGACATTTCCTGTCTAGCTGCATTAAACCTGTCGTTTCAACAGCAGTCGAAATCAGGCCAGTTCATTTCAGGTCATGGTAACTTAAGAAAGGCCAGATGTTATTTCTGGCTGAAAAAAAGCTATCCAGTTTTGCTGCTGGCAAAGAACGGTGGGGCAATTTGTGAATTAAAGTATTTTTTATAGCACAGAGTTTTGCAGATTCAAGTTTATCTGTTTTTATAAACAGTGAATTAAATAAGTGAATTCAAGAAAAAAAATAATGTTTCCTCTCTTGTAAATTGCATACAGTTTATTAAAGATATACAACTACAAGTGGGCCATTTACAGTTTACAAAAATAGGACATCCGTTGTTATTAGCCATTATGCCAACTATGTTTAGAAAAGTGAAAAAGATTTTGCCATTTTTTGCCGTGGGTGGGCATGTGACACTAAACAACCTGTGATTGCACTGAGCATAGAAATATCCTGCTCTTACAACAGTTCATGACTTAAAATGTGGACATTTTGCTGAAATTCAAAACCATTATACCAGGGATAGAAATGAAATTGTAGTTTTGTGGAAATAAACAACACACAACTTCTAACAGCTCACAATGTCAGTTATACCCTAACCCTGCCATAGAAAGCATCAACCCATCCACACAGATAAACAACATGCTCACTAGGGCTGGGCGATAAAACGATATCTATCGCGATAGACACGTGATCAATATCAATAGAAAATACGTTCGATAATTTCACTTGTTAGATTCTCCGTTAGAGAAAAATAGGAGGAAAACCCTGAGCCAGAACCGCAAGTCATTCTGGGGGACGTAGGCAGAGGAAGGGATTTAGCCTCTCGACCTATCACGGCCCAGCTTAGCCAGGTTGGTGGCATCATCATCAACAACAACAACAACAACAACAACAACAACAACAACAACAACAAAAGAACGGCGTGGAGTGAAAGGAGAATATTAGTGCGACAGCGCGAGAGGAAATTGTAGATAAAAAAGGAAAGGTCACGTCACCAGTTTGGTTATTTTAAGTCAGACAAGAGCCAGACCGATGTTTGCAAGGTCATCGTCCCTGCCACGTCTGGCAACACGACAAATTTATTTTATCACCTCAGCCGCTCTCATCCGCTGGAGTACAGCAGCCTCAAAGAGCCACAGCCACCGACATCTGCCGGTACAAGTGGAACAACACACAAGCGGCAACAAACCACCATCGAGAGGTACACGGCAGCAGTGCCATACGACAAAACAAAGCGATATAAAGAAATAACGGATGCAGTGGCGTATCACTTAGCGAAGGACATGCTCCCGCTCAGCACAGTTGAGAAGTCTGGGTACAAGAATCTTATTCACGTGCTTGACCCCCCGTTACATTCTACCAGGCCGAAAGCACTTTTCCAAGACGGCTATTCCTAAGCTTTACATGAAACAGTTTTCCTTGCAGTGAAACCATGTTGAGTTGGTATTGAGTTATTTTTATAATTTTATGCTGGTTTGATACTGACATATTACTGTTTGTTACATGTCAAAGATGTTAGTTCTACATCAGGTGTACACTAATTTTTTTATTTACAAAATACATTGAACATTTTGTTGGATTAGTTATCGATATCGACTGATATGAAATGCTTATATTGTGATACATTTTTCAGCCATATCGCCCAGCCCTAATGCTCACCTAAAACTGTCTGAGCTGAGCCTATGTATGTCAGCAACATCATAAAAACATTTCTGCTCCTTGCTTGTTCCAGTCTCATGACCATCTGCAGGTGTGGCTTTACTGGCTTTTAGGGGCAATGTTTAACTACCTGATCCCCAACCAATGTAGCAATGTTTTAACACCATATTAATTTTATAGCATTGTTGTATTAAATTCCAAATAGGACGTCAAGTTGGCCATTTCAGCAAAGAGTCCACACTACAGCTTCACCACGTCATAAACCCCTTGTCAAAACTCTTTTAGACAGATATGTGTAGACAAGAATGAAAACATGTAGACAACAGTAATCTGGAGAATGAGACCAGACAACCAAAAGTGAAAGTGAAGCTAGACAGCACACAGCGGCAAAGGAAATAACTCATAATCACAACAACTGTAGTATTATTACACATTATTTTTCATTGTGTTATGATTAAGAATGCAACAAGTGGGGTGCCCTGATAGCTCACCGGGTAGCGCCTACCACATATCAAAGCTGAGTCCTTACCGCAAGCTGGGTTTGAATCCGGCTCCAGGCCCCTTGCTGCATTTCATCCCTTCTCTCCATCTCCCCGCCTTTCCTGTCACTCTCCACGGTCATTATCCAAAATAAAAATAAAAAAAGGGCCCTCAAGCAATAAACTCTTCACTCTGTGAGTGCGACATGCTGGGTGGTGAGTGAGTCTAGAAACTGACTCAGAGTTGAGTTTTGCTTATGCAAAACTGAACACTTTTACCGCCACGAAGGATGTAATCCTAGCTGGTGCCACAAACACTATAAATGTATTAAATTTATGATACTGTGGTTTGTTTTTTATAGAAACATCCACCAAACGCTATTTGTACACTTTAGGAGAGGACCTTTTACTTAAACATGAAAGCAAAACCACTTTCCAAAAGCTATGAACTGAAAAAGAAACTACCTCAAGCAACACTGTACCGTTGGAAACGTGTTATTTAAGGAACAAAAAACAGAGTGTTTTTAAATGTATGAAATAAGAAATTACTGCTATTTGAAAACACACACATCCACAACCCAGAATTAAACCGTGTTAAATTGGGAGTTGAATGTGTACCGTGATTTTTATAGATTAAATGAAACATGAATCCCATGCAATAAATCATTTGAATGTTAGTGTGGGAAACTCAGAAGCAATAAAATTGTGTGGGGGGGGGGGGAGACGACCTGTTACTATACATCTGAGGGTATTAATATAGAGTCCCCTTAGATTACTTCAGCAACAGTCACTCCCACATACGCACAGCAACAAAATATGTCCCAATGCTCGGAAAATGTGAAACATCGACTGGCCTTAGCAACCAACCCTAAACAAACTAGCATAATAAAATACCGTACTAAGACATTAGCTGCATATAATGTTCCAATGACTAAACACAAAAAATACTTTACAGAAACGGCACTAAACCGGCAATAAAAACAGTTTTTACATCTTAAATCTCTTGTTTGAACAACATCCCCCTGACAACAACAGACACTTTTGGAGATGAGAGGGAGGAGGGTTGATGCACTGGTTTGCTATAATTACACACAATCAAAACAAAAAAGAAACTCAATTCAGGAAACTGAGCATGATAAGATTCATAAACAGATTTAGGGATCTAAAAACAGAGTACAGATTAAATGCCGCCCTTGGAGCAGGGTTGACGAACTAGTTGTGGTTCATGGCTCTATTGTGTGCCAGCATGTAGACCAACACAATGAGCTGCACAAACACCTCTCCACACACAAAACATCAGGACCCTGGCTTCTCATTTAGCGATTTTAAAACAGCAAAGCTTACTCAGCACAATGCAGCCTAGACCAACCCAGACCCTCCAATTCAATTCAAACGGAACTGCATGTGCTTGCATAAGCAGCAGCTGCCCATCCCGTCCCCCTGACACACACACACACACACACACACCCCTTTAGTAGCCCACCACACACAGGTTGTGCTATTATCTAAAGAGAAGTGGTTGGAAAGGTGACATAAACTGGTACACATGCTCTTAAAATGCACAACTGGGTGTTTATTTCTAGGGACACACTCACCTGTTAAGATGCTTCAGCTTCTTTGGTGGCAACAGCTTCCAATTCCAAATCTCTGAAAGACAAAGAAGAGATAAGGTTAATCTCTCAGAAATCATTTACCTAAACAAACATCAATTTCAAATAAAAGATATCCAGCCTGTGGGTGTTACACAGCTTTATTGGTTTACAGCGATAAAACAGCTTGTAAAAATTACGTGCAAAAGGGTTGCTATGCCTGAAATGGTTAACATATCTCCTTTTCTAGGCTCAAATTAATTATTGATAGTGCACAGGTTACAAGACATGCATCTCACCCACAAAATCTAAGCAAGGGCAAGCATTCACGAAGCAACAGTGAGAATTGCAGTGTGAAAAGTATGTCAATTAGTCAATGTGGAATTGCAGGTTGGCCTGCATAACAGGGCAATGCACGATCATGGCCCCGTAAAGCTGAGGCTCTGCAAGGCGAACAGAGTACGTGTGTGTCTGAGAATGACAGATAAAGGCACAGAAAGTGGGAGAGAGAGAGTGTGTGTAGGTCAGAGTTACAGCTCAGGTCCTGATCGGCCATTATCTCAGCTGTTGCCTGACTTACAGCTTAACCAACATGGCTTCTCTCGAGCCTGGTATTTTTCCAGCGCGAGCTAAGGCCCACAGTGGCCTTAACGGGGCATCTAATTACAGTCGGTGCAATTAAATTATTATGTGGCTTAGCAGTGTTTGCAGCGTCGTCGGGCCGGTGCAAAAAAAAGTTAAGCGAATACGACTGCAAAACCAGCATAGCGGAGGTCTGGTGTTGAACTCACCAGCTGCTCTGTCTTTCTGCCGACAGAGGGTGTTACACACTCCCACCATAACGCTGCAGCTTCAATTCACGTTACACCGCCAAATGTGCATTGGTATTACGTTTCACCACTAAATTCAATGCATTTAAAAAGGACATTTAAACAGCGATGTCCTCTATGCAAGTCAAAGCAAAAAAGCCGAGCAGTCAGTCGGAGTCACCGCCGAGCAACCTACGTCGTCAGATTAGCAACGGTTGCTAACGCTAGCTAAGAGGCTAACGTTAGTTAACTTACCCGGTCTTATTTCAAATGTGTCGATTGTGATGTTTTTAATACACGCAGCGGTACATGGACTCAAACAACGATCAGCTGCCGATAAACAAACATCTAGACACAAGAATATCTACCGAAATGCTTAATGTGCTCTTTTGACAGATACGTGCGCAGAGTCGGTGAGCTAAGGTTAACCAGCGCTCGTACTAGTTAGCGTTAGCACAAGGTTAACTTGTCCACAAATAGCAAATGTTTGCCTGTCAAACGCGCCTTGAAATGTTCAGTCATCTGCAGGCCAACACAAGTCGGTTTGTTGTTTTTTTTTTCCTTTTTACGTTCACTGCATTGCAACCCAGCCGCCCTCACTGTTAGCTCAACCAAGAGGCTAGCTAGCTAGCTAGCTTAGCTCAGTCACGGCTAACTAAACAACAGCGGCTGTTCCAACTTATCTACACCAGTCCCCGGTCTCCCCTCTCCCCTCTCCCGTCCCTCTGTGTGTACATTAGCTCGACGAAAAGACACGACCATCTGGTCCAAAACACAGTAAAACCAACCTTACCTCATTGAAGTATAAAGTGCAACAGAGTGGAAAGGAAAGCCGGCTGTAAGGCTAAAATAATTTTCAACGCGTTTGCAGCATCTACGAGGGGAGGCATCCGTCCTGCATGATCGCCATTTTCTTAACTCGCTGCTGGCTAACCTTCTTTCGCTTGAGCTCTGCTTTCCCCTCCTCTCTCTCCGCATTCACTTCAGCTATGACTGTGTGTGTGTGTTTCTGGAGGGGGGAGACAAGGCAGGAAACACGTTCACCACTTCCTCTGACTGAGAAAACCAAACACAGGCAAACGTACATAAATGGCATCGAGAGGCGAGTGAAAGCTTGTGAAGCCAAGCATGTAAAAGTTGTTCGAGGTAAACAGCTCAGTCCCTTCAGATTAATAAACCCATGACAAATGTTGCAACGGTACCACACGCACAAGACCTACAAACAAACCCCAGAGTTACTGTATTTATGTAGGCTATGTATTTTAAATCGAAGTATCCCATAGATTATTTTAAAAATGTCATCATGTGTTACAAAGATAAATACCACAAACCAGAAGAAAAATATTCATATATTTATCTGCCCATCTAGGTCCTCCTCACCACTCTTATAATAGTATGACAAGAAACCAAACATATCTCAGTTTTATTTTTTATTTCGATATTTTTTTAAATACTTTTTAAGTTAATAAGTTGAATTATACCCCAATTATACTTTCTATACCTTTAATGTCCTAACATTAAGGTCTACATGCTGTTTCGAGCTTTCTCCACACTAATAATTATACAATTCTGGGGAGACTGTTGAAACCTATTTATTATTTTGTTGACCTTCAATTTAAACATACTGAGTCTACAAATAATTGAACGAGTTCATAAAATGCCCTACATATGTAAGTTTTTAATTGTGAAGCTACAGCTCTAGTGTAGTCGATATTTAATATATTACTCTGAACAGTCTTGGGAGATAAAACAAAATTGTAATTTTAAATTGGCATTCACATTCACCATTTTTTAAGACATTGTTATGGGAGGAATCCAACTCAAGAATCTAAGTGTAATGTTTTTACAACCTAAACAATAACAGCAAAATAAGGGTTGCAACATTTCAGTGTCAGTTTATTGACCAGTAAACCCACTTTTGAACACACAGATGGTAAAAGTTTTATAAATACATGTCAGAATAATGATGTTTCCAACATTGACATGGACCCCATATTTTCCCAAATTTCCATTGTCCATTCACAAATTATATGTCAAAAAGTCGAGAAATGTCCTCTCTCGAATAATGCCATTACATCTGAACACCTAAGAACCGCAGACCCAAAAACCTGAAAGTGCCCAGTTGTGAGGTATTTTGATGCATTGAGTGTACTTCAGAATGTATGTAGAATGGGAAATTGAACATATATGTCACAAACACAAGCAGATTTACAGCATCTCTACTTTTTTTTTCTCCACACACTTGTCTTGGCCAACCCATGCATGGTTTCGGCTGTTACGTAAGAAAACAACCCTGAAAAGAGTTTTTAAAGAGAGACAGACAGAGACAAGAGAGGAGAGAGAGAAACAAATACAGCGTGGAATCTGCCAACTGCAACGTTTCACCAACGAAACAAAGGCTGTTGCTGCTTATAGGAGAGACCAGCAATACATGTGTGCAAAGCCATGACCATTGACCTACCAATGGCAAAAACAACCCCCATCCTTGTGCACAAATTACCTCTCTTATCTGTGTGTATTTGACTGCGAGAGAGAGAGAGAGAGAGAGAGAGAGAGAGAGAGAGAGAGAGAGAGTACTGCCAAGTAATTATTTTATTTGACCTGGTATCAAAGACAGGGAGATTAGATTTTACAGTATATAAACAAATGGGTAACCTTTCAGTGCTGGGGGGCTGTTGCCAAATATTACCCAATAGATTCTTAATGCTGATGATGTGTTTGTGACAACTGGGAATTCACATTGTATAATTGGCCTCCAAATGGCAAAATATTTGATTGATTGTCCCTTGTCCCTCCATTGTATGCCCAATATTTGGGATTCATTCTGCCTTAATACGCTTGTCCTATTTCCCAGCTGTCAAGTCAGAACTACAAAGTGAGACATATTGAGGATGTTGGCACAAACAAGTTGTATGTGGTGAGTACTGTACATAAATAGGGCCTTTCTTGCCTGTATTGTATGTAGAAATAGGAGTCTGGGAATGTTCTTTATGATGAAAGACTCAATAAAACGTCACACCTCTGAAGTTGTATCACAGTTGCTTACAAAGCCCCCACTTATACAACATAGAGGATGTTGATGTGTGTGTCCTTAGTTGTATTTCATTATTCCATTTTAGTGAAGTTCTTTGATGTCATGTGCAGCATTATGTAAATTATCATGGCAGTGCTGACAATTAATAGTGAGATTGGGTGCATTCATAGGCTGTAATGGTATAGGATGTTAGCTGATCTACAAGCTAAGACAAAAGACGGAGGCTAGATTATTGAACAAAACTAAGAGTCTACAGTACAGTGGTGCTTGGAGCTAATTAGCACTAAATACAAAGTACAGTTGAGGCTGATGGGAACATTATCAGATGATGTTGGAATAAAAGTGATTATAATTCATCCTGAGGGAAACATGAATGTCTGGACCAAATTTCATGGCAATCCATCTAATAGTTGTTGAGGTATTTTAGTCTGAACCAAAGTGCTGGATCGACTAACAGACCGTTATTGCCATCCGCCACGCCTGCTATATGGCTAATAGAAATAACCAACAGTACTAAAATGATATTTTTACTGAACTGTCATTCAGTCTGAAGTCATGGCTATATTGCTTGAACATTTTATTAACAATGATCATGTGTTTATATACATTTTGGCATTAGCTGCTTGGCAACTTTACGTCTGTAGAAAGTTAGTGCATGCTTGATAGTGTACTGTATTTATATTTCTCAAAACAATTCTGGAAATTAAAGGACCAGTGGCATCTGTGAAGTTGCAACCATTTGAATACTGTTCGCCATCCTGGCCGTGAAACTCGGTAAAAACTTGAAAGGCCCTTTCCAGAGCCAGTGTTTGGTTGGTCTGGGCTACTGTAGAAACATGGCGGGTCAACATGGCGGCCCCCATAGAAGAGGACCCGCTCCCTCTGTAGATAATAATAGCTAACAAAACAATTTTTTTTTCAAGTGATAGTACACTAATGAATACATACTAGGAATATTATATTATATATATTATATATATATTATAACACCCTCTATCGATATAACTTTTCTCTCACTGCAAATCAGTCTAGGTAGATTGGAACGAAAGTATGGGACACTACAGGACGTATTGACATGATAGCAGATAGTTTGGAGCACTTTGACACGTGCATGTAAACAAACCCCAGAGCCCCCATGCCTGTCAGTTAGTCATAGCTTTGATTAACTTTGATAGAAGATGCCGAGTTGTCACATTAGTACTGGTGTTGTTTGTTGAAACTACATTTAAACAAAATGTCTAAAATCAAACTCTTGCATGTTTGATAAAATGAAAGGCTTCAACAACACCTGTAGTACTGAGAACAAATGTATTGCTTGTTTTAAGAAAGTTGTTTTCTATATTACAAGTGTCATTCAACTTGTTTCCACTTGTGTCTCAACTCCCAGTTTGGTGAAGTTATAAGTTAGGTCTACCACGGTATATGAAGGACCGGGGAGTTTGTCTGGCTCATTGACTGAGTGTCCACTCATGCCTCATATACTGAGGCCCAGTGTTAGATTAAACTGGTAGACTGTAACAAAACAGAAGAATCCAGAGACAGCCAGCGTAAAAACCTGAACAAAGCAAGACAAAGAATAGAACAGTAAAGAGTAGAACAGCTTTGCTACAGATTCTGGTCACCAGTGTTTTTTGTTGTTGTTTTTTTTTACATCTGTAATAACATGAAGAGTACAAAAAGTATGTTTTAAGCTTTTTATTTCAAAAGGGTCCAGAAACCAATACCCGATAGTAACCGGTGCATGGGTGTTTGAAAGGGCAGAAAACTACTTTTTGGCTGCTTGTCACAATGAATAGGTTTACTGTGAGAAGAGCAGGGCAGTGAAGTCAAAGAGTTTGGTAATAGTCTATGACAGGGCAGTCACCTTGACAGGCAGAGCAGTGTATACAGAGCAGGCTGAGGCTTAATCATTCACACACACACACACACACACACACACACACACACACGTTCAAATGCAGTAAATACGCCAGCAGGGTTACTTGGGCAAACAAATGCATACAGGTACACATGTGTCCACATTTACCTTCACAGCACTGCCTGTAATAAAGTTATGCAATTATTTGTCTCTCATTTTGCATTTGCATTTTGCTTGTGTGTGTTCAGCTCAACCACAGTCTGTATTTTTATACATGCATTTGCACACACATTTGCAGGGACGCACACACACACACACACACAGGTCACAGTGATCAGTTGCAGCTGCAGGAGTTTGGGAGCGTTTAAAAATGGGAAGACCATTGTACTGGAGAGAGAGACAGGGGCATAGAAAATTGGACTGAAATTTGAATGTACAGGAGGAAAGGGGAAAGTGAGCAGGGAACAGAAAGTTAGTTAGGACAGAGAGAGAGAGAGATTATGTGGAGGGGGTGAGAATGTGAGAGAGAGACAGACTGACAGACAGAAGAAGGTCAGAAAAGAGATTTGCATGTCAAGTAGTAATAGGCTTGTCCTGAGTACAGACACGCACACTACTAAGCTGCAGTGTTCATAGTGCTGCAGTGTGCGTGTGTGTGTGCATGCAGTGCATTATTTCTCCTGCGGGCTGCCAGCCTAAACTAGCTGCCACTGCATCTATCCGACTTACATTTCTACTGATGTCCTCAGTCTGACTACTGGGCTTCTAGAGCCTGTAAAGCAACATATATACAAATATATGTATTGTGTCTGTGTGGGTCTGTGACATTGATGCTGCTCAGGTTTTTCCTCACTGTTCCTTCGAGTCTGATTCAAATCATACATCACTCTTTCACTCGTCCTCCGCCCTCCAGTCCACACTTATCACCATAACCCCTTCATTTTTCACGTTTCTCTCTCCAACCTCATTATCTTCTACCTGCCTCGACCTTTCTCCTTCACTTTCTATCAGCACAAACACAGAGATACACAAAATCAGCCGGCATGCACACACACACACTCACAGATCTATATTCACAGGGTGGCATGGAGACTTTAATGGGTGGCAGAAATGCATGCTGATTTCATTGCAATAATCACATATATCAATATTTGCTTTGGGAAAAACAGTAATCTACAAGTAATCTTAACTAAAAAACATTACATTATTGTGGCAC